TTTGCACACGACATCCTAGCATTGACAGACAACCTCAGCAAATCTCCTCAACAAGTTTCATTGTCAGCATCCGAGTGTCAGTGGCTAGCAAAGCGGACTCTAGATAGTTTGATAGACATGAGATCAGACGACAGTTCTCATTCTTTATTGATTAAACTTCAAAGTCGGTGTTAACGATCGAAATGTCCCGCGGAAGAGAAAGGCGCCCACACGATTCGAGATGGGGCAAGGTGTTGGTTACAACCCCGTTACAGTGCAGGACGTGTTCCGGCCTAAGTACTTTGAAGCAATCGATCTTGCCATCGCCAGTGTTAAAGAGAGATTTGACCAACCGGGATATCGCGTTCTTCAAAACGTGGAGAATTTACTTAAAAAGGCCGCACAACTTTTGAAGACCGAGTCCACTAGAGAACTTGGTTTTGTTTGTGATTTCTGTGGTAACGATATTAACCGAGACATCTTAGATGTGCAGCTTCACATTTTGACAAATCAGAAAATAGTACTGTTACTCTACTCGGCTTTTTGAAATTTGCGTCAGAACAGTCGGTGCTAGAACGAGCACTGTTCTCTGAGGTCGTTGTGTTGTTAAAGATTTTGTTAGTAATGCCTGCTACTAATGCTACCAGTGAAAGGACATTCTCGGCGTTCAGAAGAATTAAGACATACCTGAGATCGACAATGTCTCAAGTACGTTTGAACAATCTAATGGTGTTAACTGACAGATCCACTCAACTTACTTTGCCGATGAGTTCATCACTACCAGAGAACGACGGCGATGTGTTTTTGGAAAATTTACATCAAATGAGACTCTGTGTTGTGTAAGATTATTGTTAACAAAATACAAGTTACTGCTAAACAAAAAGTGGTTATTGTTGACTCGTAATGAACTATTCTTCCATCATGTCATCGATTGTTATTTAAGCTTATACCAATGTGTGATTTATGCTAAACAATAATCCACGTACTGTAATATTTCTTTCATTTGTTTATTTATAATCATCAGATAAAAATGCATTTAAGAATTATAATAACATCAGTTATTGTTTATTTTTCATTTGCCAAATATCAATTACATGTATTCATCTTTTATGTACACCTGTCCGTCCGTCATGCGAACCTTAAATTTCACCCTTAAAACTTACGACGCACTTAAATCTGTAAAAAATCGTTGACATATTACTATAACATGTACTAGCGGCAGGCTGTAAACTGTGCCAAATATACGGGAAAACGCCCCTGACAGCATCCTAGAATAAAAAATTTTCCGGGGGAGCATGCCCCCGTACCCCCCTAGATTCTACCTAAAACCAATCAAATTGGCCGCACCAATCACAAAATCGTGACGACGGGCCTGCACATACATTAATACTGGCAGCATATTGCATTACAACTTGTGAACTTGTCGAGAAATCAAATCCTTTCATCCAAACTCTCCATGTAATGTAATCATGTTCAGCTACAGAACAACAAATGTTTGAAAGTTATTTTAAAGCTCATCTTGTTTTAAAAAATACTCGCAATGTTTGTGTTTTATTTTCAAACAAGATGTAAACAACACAACAGCAATGTGCCTGCATGTTACAATCATTTGACAAAAATGCATTTTAATAGAACTTTCTAAAAAAAAAAAGAAAGAAGAAAAAAACTACATTGATTACAGTCATAATTTTAAAATTTTTTCATTCATGTGGTTTTAAAATAACTCACAGAACTGTCATGTTTATTAATAATTGACTGATAACATAAAAGAGTTTGTACTTAATGAAACTCAATCATTGGACATTAATAAACTAGATCATTTTATGATCATGTCAGGTTTAATTACTACAACTAACCAGGCATAATAAGCGTTGCCCACTGCGCTTCATTTCAGGGTTCTTTTAAGTTCAGTTAAAAATTCAAGGCAATTTAAACTTCAAAGGATGAAAATTTCAAGAAATTGGACCCTTAGGCATTTTAACTGGCAGACCATAATGCATTTTTGTAATTGAGCAAGTCAATGAGCAGTGTTGATATTTCAAATAAAACGATGACAACATAATTTTCTGTTCAAGTGGTGCTGGAAATTGCCACATCACAATGTAGAGGCAATGACTCAGGGAACTCTAAGATAAAACATATTCTTGGCAATGAGCAATATTTTTGTATTGTTTATCAACCACACATGAAAGAACAGTTGGTTATTCACACAGACTGGTACAAATGAATTAGTAATAAAAGAACTGCAAGTCTGCATGCAAATGAATTAATCATGCAACAAAGAAAATTTTTAGAACCAGTCTGAATTTTCATTGTTAAATCAGAGTTATTTCATTCATTTATTTATTCATGAACAGTGAGTCTGTAACAAAAGAAATGCCTGTTTCAGTTTGGAAAGTAAGTAGAAAAAAGTTGTTAAAAAAATTGTCTGCTTGCATGACTGTAATCATTGTCGATCTGCAAAACTGAAACCACTTTCTCAAAATGAAGTTAAAGATATAAAATTTCATGATTCAGCCATTTTTTTCCATTGAGAGAAATATTTACTATCACAAATCTTTCAAGACTGGTATAGACAGAATTTGCAACCTCATTTTATTTCAGGTTTTCGTAAGCTTTTTTTTCAATAAATGTCACTTTTGACACTTAAGGGCATTTCCTTATTCACTCCCTTTTTGTTGTGATTTGTATAACATTTCAAATTAAAATTCCTATCTGTATTTAATTGTACACAATTTAAATCAATCACAGACGAAGATCTAACAAATTATGTTAATCAATTAATGACTTACAGACATAACAATATAGACTTTGTTCAATATATATTATAATGATTTTCAACAAAATTTAAATCACTATGACAAAATAACTTCAAGGATCATTTTGACCAAAAGTCTCCAGAAAAAAAACATCCAGCTTAACATGAACTTAAATTTTAGTGACCTATAATATATGCTTTAAATTAATTTTATTTTCTGTAATAAATGATCAACTGGCACATTTTGTGCTGTCTGATCATGGTCTAGTAAAAGTCAGTATACATTGATAATATTGCCCCTAAAATGACAAATGGTTTGGTCTAGATTGAAAGATGGACAAGTCCATTAAAAATATTCAGAGAGGTATAGGGTTCAGAGTAAACATCAGGAACAGAAAAAACAATTTCTTACAAAGACAACAATCATTGGTTACATAAGCTCCTGTGTGTGTCATATAAGTCTCGTAAAACAGAAGCAAGCATGCATAAGACATGCTCATCTACAGTGGTAATAAATACAATTAATAATCTTACATATGAATCAAGCATTTGTATCAATCAAATTATGACTCAACTTTACACATGCTGCAAATGATCAGTTTAACCCCAGGAAATAATTATCCATATTGTATCCTGGAAGTTGTCACGCTGTGACAGCACTTTTAGTTCAATGACTCAGTGGTGAGAGTTGAATATTTTGAGTAGTTCAGAAGGAAAACATGACTTTTAAATGTAAACCCAGTGATAAGCGGTATCAACTTCTAAACAACCGCAATTCTTTCGCAAAAAGATGCCTCAAACACCTAGCAATAGACCAACAAGAAGAAAATCTCATTTCAATAACACCTCACATAGACATTCAGCCATTATAAAAATTGCTTCATATGCAAACCAGCCAAATTACAAAAATAAACAGGACCTGCCGTATATTAAAATTCAATGATATTATTATAAAAGAACTTAAATGATAAAGATTTTGTGCTGTAGAAATGGAAAAATCAGTATCAACATGTATCAACCAACATCTGATCAACGTGGATCAACGCTTTAGGTGAATGTCCACAGCTTGAGAAAAGTAAACTTAGCCATTCAGAGCCAATGTTTGCAATGTAAACACTTTCCCCAGATACTTCCTGCGTGACTTGAGGATCTCTTTGTCCAAATATGTCCAATAACCGGAACAAAACATTGAGAGAAATAGCTTTTAGCATGATTTTCTTCTACTACAGCTGACGCCACTTTGAAAACATGTGAGATTGTTAAGATGGTCTTGTGTATCAAGTAGTTTTTGTCTGCATAGGAAATTGACAGACTCGGCATACCACATCCAAGATAATTATTTATACTTGGTTTTAGCTAATAGTCAGTGTATTTTCCTGTCTGTCTGTGAAGGAAATGGACCTCTCATACTGTTATATCTTGTACCACATCCAAAGGAAATTGATTTGCCAAAATAAACCAACAATTGAACAAAAGATGATTAATATGACAAAAAGGATTATGTATTATCCGGTATTTTAGTCAGTGGTTTTATCAAAACATGATTGTGTGCTGTTTTTTTTATGAATGAAATTATTCCATACTTAAAATCATTGGCTAGCATCCTTTCCCAGGGTAAGATGTGAGTACTTGTGGTAAATTATACTTAACGCTTGTTACTGAAGGTTAGAAACCAATTCACAAATTAAGCTTAAAGAAAACATGCTTATATTTCACTGTAAGCCTCCTATGACCACTTGAGAGCAGCCGATACCTATCAAATAACCTATCGGTGGGAAAGTATTTAAAATATACAAAAAATACAATCCCTGACTGTTGTCCACTAAAGCTACCTCTATTGGTAAATTGATTTGTAACACAAAGATTCTGTTATAATATATGTTGTTGATTATGTCAAACCATGGCTGCAAAGACTGGTGAGAATATTTTTAAATTTTGATCATTTAGTCATAGGCAGGGATTTACATTTCACTGTTACCCTTAATATATCTCACACATTTCACATTGCTCCAATATCATTGTTACTTAATTGGGTCTCATTTTGTTGATCATATATAGTTACCATTCATTCACTTTATATGAATCAGAGAAAACAGAAATTTATAGCTTGTAACACAAGGAAATGAAAAGAAAGCTAAACATAGGCTGACTATTTTCCTCGCAATTTAGAAAATATCTGCATACTGTGGTTCTATCAGGTTCAATGCCTCATAGACAAGAAGAATATTATAATAAGAAATGCTATATTTGTGAATGGCATTACCTTCCCGAACATTGATGATGTGAGGATGTTTGACGGTGGACATAATCTTGATCTCTCGTCTGATTCTGTTAAGATCATGCTCATCGTTTATCTTGGATTTACGTATATACTTTATAGCAACCTGAAACATACAACATACAATAAATTAACATAAGAATTATTTAGTCAAAACTGCACAATTTACATTCTTACTTTTTTTATATAAAAAAAAAACTGTAAGTAGTTTTTAGTTTTTGTTAAGTCACTAACGCTATTCTATGAATGAAATAACTTTCCCGCCACTCACTTTAAAAGATTTAAAATTATTATGCTATTGTATTTTTCCAGCAAGTGAGCTAATCAGCAAGATAAAAGGGAACGTGTTGAGGCCTTAAATTATATCAATTAACAGCTCTTATTTTCCAAAAGCTAATTGAAATTAATAAAAGGGCATGAATTTAACGACCTTCTAGGTGTCAAGACCGAAAGAAATTCTACTTTAAGCTATACAAAATGCGCAATGTAAATTTTTTGGTAAACACTTTTCTTTCAGTACGTAAAATACAACAGACAGGGGTAGAGAGGACAATGGATTTACTCCCAACTGAGAATGCCATGCAATCAGATAGCCACCACTGACACCCGGGAGACGGTGTACTATCTCTATAATCTTAACCTAATCACAGTCTATTTCTAATGAACAAAATACATTTAAAAACACATGAACTTGTCAAAAAAGAATAATGGCACATTATAAACTTCTTGCTTAGCTAGTGCATTTGCCACCCCATGAACAAAATCAGAAAAAATTGTAAATAAATCAAAATATGAACATGAACAAAATTTTGTCATCAGCATTGCTTTAATAAGAAAAATTTCTATTTCACAGAGCAAGATTAATTTCATTTAATTATCATACTTTGATAATAATACTGTAAAATATTTTTTAGTTACTTCAAATAGTTTTACTATAATTAAAATAAATGTATGATTAACTGGTCATACAGAATAATTCCCTGTGACATACTGATTGGAACAGTTACACAAAAATTGCATTGGAACTATAAAATTTCAATAACTGAACTTGAAATCTCTGCCCTGCAATTTTGGTTAACTATTGACTGATTATTATTGAGTCAGATATAATAATGTTTTATTTAACACCTGTTCTTCAAAGGTTTGTAGCACAAAATAGACTTCATAATAGAAAAATACATGTAAAAAAGTCAATAACTTTGTACTAAACATTTCAATTTGTAAAACCATAATTTTAAGGTGTTTATTTCCACCAAACTTCAAACGGGTTTATAAATTACAAGGTGTTACCATGCATTCTATGCAACTATGATTGTTACTTTAACCTTATAGAACTATGTTATAATGTCAAAGAGCACCAATTAAGGTGATTAAAAGAAACCCGCTTTTTGAGTCTCGCCTGATTACAGGTAACTAAATGAGTTGACAATTTTCTGTACTGAAAGTCACAAATATAAAAAGTTACGCTAATTGCCTATTGTGTTTTCTAGTTCACTAATGACCGAGTAACCAGGCTTTTTAACACCTACACAATAGAGGGGACTTTTCTTAAGCTATTACAGACAATTGATTATCAAATTAGTAATATTTTCATGGTTCAAATAACAGTATCACTTATTCTGTTGCCTGGTACGAATAATAATAAAAATAATAGTAAAATTAATAGTAGTAACATTTATGTAAATATTTGTAGTTATAATAAATCATAGGATTACAGGCTGTTTGAGGTCTTAATATAAAAGTTCCCATTTTTGACATTTCTATTTTCTAATGCATATACTCATTATTATTAATGCAACAATATCACCATAACGCCACACCCACTCAAATTTAAACTCCGAGTTAAATTTAATGATCATATAAGTCATTTGGCTTTAAATAGATTTAGCCAAGGGCGACATGGTTTTTTTCACTATTTTTATAATATGCCTTTGATACACCACAAAAATGAGGAAAATTAAATAGTGAGATTATATCTTTAACCTGTTGTAAATCATGTTGTACATGTTGAAATACCGAAGTGATTATGGGGGTATTCTCTCTGTTGTAATAATTTATCATACCATTATAATCTGCGATAAAAATATTTACCTTAGTAATAGTTTTTTTGTCAAGGGCGTATTTCTCTTACAAGAACAACTTTTTAAAATAAAATTCTCATTAAATATAATGATTAATGATGTGACATTGGTCATACTAATAATATAAGATTCACAAATAATTTCTATAACTTGACATCTTTTCTAAATACCAAATAAGCCTAATAAAAAAATTAAACAAATCCGTCTTCTAGACTTCTTGCGTTTATTTCAATTAAAGACCGTATCTATTTCTATAAATGCATTATTTGCGATGCACAATACAATGATATCTGTCACATGACACCTCATTTACGCTCTTTATCAAGTCGTGGAATTTAAATTATGTCTACTATTTGTATGGGTTGAAACAAGTCAAAAGATTGTTTAGATTTTTTTTGCGCTCTTTGGAAATCCCCGGCATTTTCCTATCTATTTATAAACACAATCTCATTATGCTAGGGATTACCAAGAAACATTAAGGTGAATGTAACCACTCAAGGCAAATATTTCAATTTTTTTTTTCTAATCTGTCAAATGACTATACTGCGAACAGAAAAATCTTTGTATGATCATAGTAGACAAAATTTGGAAAACTGATTTTATATAACAAATTATGAGAGCTCAAAAGAATTAAAACTTCTTTTATCTTTAAACTTTCTTTTCCAACTCCTCCCCAACTAATTACTACTGTGACAGTGAGGCATTAATTTCATCAATGTTATGATATTTTTTTTATGGTGACAGTATAATAACAACATAGTATTATCATGACCCTGATAACCAAAAAATGATTCATACATTTTTCTTTATTAATATTATGTTTCTATATCCATATCCTGATCATGACCTCTAATGGAGGGACACCTACTACATCTATGATGACAGTACTACCTTAGTAAACTAATATAGGTGAATAAAGGTAAATGATTATGAGAAAGCTACCCAGGGCAACTTGGTCAGGTTTTTATGATAATTAGACCGATGATAGACTCCCTGTTTTATCATTTGACAGATCTATAGTGATAGAGGAACTGACTGACATCCCTGGGGGATGTAATAAATACACTATGATAGTATCATATCAGATAATATCTTCTATAACAAATTATTTCAAATATTCCAATGAAAAAGGAATACATATATACCTTTTATTATATCAGAACAAATTTTGAAATTTTATCAATAATAACTTTATTTTAATTAAATTCTAATTTTTGGTTATGGTTAAAAGTATAACAGCATAACATATATAATATATTTCCTAACTTTAAACCTTTGCATGCTTAAATATAAAATATTAAATTGATTTGTCTATTTTTGATCATTTTCAGGGAAAATTTCTAAAAATATATAAATATTGACTTAATAGCCCACGAATGATCAGAGGACGCAGATGTGCCTGCTGATCTTCGACTGCATTGGTCACATACCTAAAATAAAAGTTAAAGGTTGAAGGCTTTTAGTATTCTGTTCAGATTTTAATGACATTAATCTACAGGGACCGGCCTTCTGTTGTATGAAACATCAGTCTGTACTATTCCGGAGATTTGTCTGTTGGTCTTTCTATCTGAATCAATATTTTCACGACTGACTGCTTCCTAGGAATGTCACTAGAATTCTTAAAGCCTCTATTGATTCTTCACTTCCAATAATTATATTTCAATACAAATAACAACCCGTGCAGAAGAATTATACATTATATATCTATCAATCGTGAAAATATTGAGTTAAAATTTTCATATTGAATAATATCACTATTGTTGAATGTAATCAAACAATTAACCTGTGTTCTCAGAGTAAATCATCTAAATTCCCAAAACATGCAAACTCATGTTATTATGCGAACTCATGTTATTAAGAAAACGTAAAAAAATATAGAAATAATAATTCTACAGTAAATGTTTACTGTACTAAAGCATGAATTTGTAATAAAAATTTTTTTAGTATAGGCAATAATTTGTCATGTGTATCATAATAAATTTATTGGCAAATTTCAAGGCTCATAAAAAAGTAATATAACTATCCACCCTGACCAATGATTTTGCCTAAAATCCAGTCTCAGGTTAATCAAATTAATTATGTTACCTGTCAGGGGGTGGTTTTACCTAATATTATATGACGGTTACTGTGGCAATCAAATTAAAGTCACTCATTTAGGGCAGACTATTATAATCATCAGATAACGGCTGTCAAAAAGTCAGACTTTGGTTAAAGGGGATTTATTCAACAAACTTCAACAAACTTTTGTTTAAATGGGTTACCGAGGGAAAATAAGACATACTGTTACATTACAATAAACTTGAATAAGAAGTAAAATAAAATAAATTTCTAACACAAATATCTAATAATTGTCATCACAATGTCATAAATTGCCATAAAATTTCTTATGCTCAGTCTTATCTTTAAAACATGTGTACGTGTAATTGAAATGTTTCTTATCTCCAGGTAAATAAAAAAGTTTTTTTTTAAGAAATAGATTAAATTAATATTTTTTTAGAAAGTAAAAAACTTAAGTCCCACTTGATGTGTCATGTGAGCTTATAACTCTTGCTGGGGTCTCTTTTTTTCCAACTTCTAGTAAAATATTTCTCATGAGAAATATTATTTACAAACTATAGATATATATTTGAAGATCAAGTATCTAACTATGGTATGTCTAAAGGTAAATATTATGCCCAATATAGATATAAAATCAGTAGAAAGGAATGCCAATAACATTTATAATATCTGTTAAAATATAACCTTTTCAACTTCAAGTTACTAATGATTATCAAAACATATAATAGATAATGTGGCTTGCATCTACTATAGTCTAGTATTTAATCAAGGTAAATTCATTTCAAGGGGGTCTTACCAAAAAACACTTGATCTTTGTCCAAATTTTAGATAAAGAAAACCAGATTGTTAAAACACTTTTTGATGTTTTATTTTGTGAACAGCTTTCTTATCAGAAATTATAATCAAAGGAACTTAGTGATTACCACCATGCAAGTGCATAAGTCGGCTTTTGTCCAAAAGACAAATTACAGATTAAACTTTACTATTTCTTATATATCAAAAGCACCTAACTTGAACTTTGATCAGTTGTAATATTTGATAGGTTAAAAAGTTAATTCCACTTGCACACCTGGGAGTTGATGTACTCATATAGTAAATGATATAGTGTGAATCTACAAACAATTGTTGTCTATATAACTCTAATGATAACATGTGCATGAAATATAAATATTTCATACATAAACATAAGACAGCATGCTATTCTCAGTGCTGGACAGTAAGAAAAGGGGCACAACTCTGTAATGACGTATCTCAGAGTTATGGGAACTGTGCCCATCATGAGACAACAAGTGTATGAAGTTTCAACCCATTCCCTTCATGTACAAACTTTACCAAGTGTGACAGACATGACAATGCCTGGGTGAGTACAATAGCTCTCCCTAGTCTTTGAATAGACTTAAAAATGACTGTAATTTCTGTGTGTTATACAGTAACTTTAGTACATGTAGATAGAATATTGAATAAAGACAAAGAGAAACGTTATGGCAAAGAACAAGAAGAAGGTCTTAGGAGATAATGAAAGTAATGCTAATGACTAATGAGTTAAATTACTATCTAGCATTTTCATAATATGCACACAAAACCTGTGTTGGATCTTATTGCTGACAAGGTAAGGAATATCATAATTTATTACCCACCTCCCCCACACTAAAAAAGAAGTGTGACTGAGACCTCTAGAGGAAATTACAGTTTCATGTATTATAGGTCATAAATGTAGAAATAAAGTCAAGAATGCAGACAAATAAGACCACAGATGCTTCATCAACTGTGATTGTAACATTTCCACAATATGATGAGTATGTTTGGATAAAGTTTTACCGTAACTCTTTAATGATCACTCTAAATTTTACATGTACTACTTGTGACTTTAAGTTTCAGTTTTAAATTTGATTGCATTGCAGCTCAGTAATATGACTTAAAAATATATCTTTTGTGATGTTATTTAGCTCATAATAAAATTAATTTTAAGTCTTAAACAAAATTATGCTCAAAGAAATATAATCATTTCTCCCTATAAAAAATAGCAATAAGCAACTTTCTGAATTACGGGTCTGGAAGGAAATCAGCATAACTCTGACCAAAGTGTTTTCTTCCAGTGCTTGTATTTTCTTTTATTTGATAATGATATATTATCATATCTTAGACAGGAAGTCACATAGCAAGGATTAATATAAATGTCCTTGAAAAAATACGTACACCACAATCTATATAATTCTCTTAACAGCTACAACAATTGTATAGCATTGAGTAATTGCTTTGTATATGCGTCAACAAAGTAATTTTCAAAATTGGAAATGGTAAAAGATCAGTTTATTCTAGTGACAGTAAAATTATTTCATAAAAAATTAAGCAGGTGTTTAAACACAGATAATAACTCAGTAACTTACTTTTAAATTGCTTAAAAGACAATAATTATTTTCTTAAAATTAGTTTATTGTAAAATAATGGTAACCAACTTTTTATTTTTTATGACAAGCTAGGACTCATGCACCAATTGTTTTTGTCTACATTATTACAACACTAACAATCATTTGGCATGTGATATAAATAAGTACATGTATGATTAATTCAATTAAAGCATGTTATATTTATAAAATTATATATGAACATGTATGATTGATTCATTTTATTTTCAAATCAATTTCCAAGGTGATTTTTTAATATACTGATAGACTTAAGTTAATGTCATAAAACTTTTTCTAATCCACACAACTAAACTACAATTAATGTCATCACTTTATATGATTATCCAGATTATCTAATATTATGTATTTCACAAACATTGTATTAAGTTAATTGAAATCCTAACCATGCTATGAAAATGACAGATTTAACTTTTCTATGGTGTCAGACAACCACTGATTTTCTGTTTAATTTCAATTTATCAAAAGAATCAAACATAATCTGCCTATTGTAAGACTTTGTAAGGTATCATATTTAAATTATATGTAATTTATTCCGATAGGTCTTCAGTACCAGTGACATTCTGGTATCATTTAAGCCCTGGTTAACACCATGGAATGTTGGTATTGTCCACATAATAAAAGGCAACAGATAAGATGTTAATCCTGAACCTAAATGACTAAATATTAATTAAAATTTAAAGCAAGTGACAATTAAGTCATTAAGTTGATTAACATCTAAATAAATTGATATATAAATAGATTCATTTCCACACATGTTTAATAAAGGAAAAAAACTTTTCCATTAATTACAGCTGAAAGCACTGAAATTTAAAAGATAAAGATAACTTTTGAAATTATGCAGTATCTTATGAGAGGTTGCATTACTTAATTAATTTGTTTCAGCTTCAGAAAATAATATCATGTAAATTGTTTAAAATATTATACTATTAACAGGTATGGTACCACAAAATATTATCCATTCCAATCATCACAAGTCAATTGCTATAATTATTTCAATGATTAAATAAAAAGAGTGACTGGCAATGTGAGATATACCTGCTCTCCTGTAGTCCTTTCAATGGCAAGTTTCACTTTGCCATATGTACCTTCTCCAAGTGTCTTTTTCAGCTCAAAACGATTCTTCAGATTGTGTTTATGTCCATTGTCTCGACCAACACTTTTATTTAATGCTGCTATTAACTCATCTGGGATCATTGTCTCCATCTCGCAAACTGATCGAGCTGGCATGCTTTTCATAGTAAAAACTGCACATGCACATGTACCATCCAATATACAACATCAATATAATTTCTATTTCACTCATTAAAAGGTTTCCTTAAAAATAATGTTATTAAGTTAGATATCAAAATAGTTTCAGTTCACAATAATACTTAACATGTATCTTTAATTTATAGTGATTAAAATTGTAGCAATATTTATATCCTCTCAATTTTGTGAAACATGAACATACACTGATAAAGAAAATGTGATCGTAATTGAATATATTACGTCGTGAAGTAGGCGGAGTTATCATACCAGACAGTGTTCATGTATTTAGTTTGACAGCTCAAGCAAATCGTCAGCTGTTGGACGATTCACTTCAGATATTAAAATAAATCAATCCGCAAAAGTAGTCCATACATGTATTAAGATATATTTCCCCATATTTCTGAAGTAATTTTCTACGTGCAATTTCTATTTTGACTAAAAATTGATAAATATTTCTAATTTCAATATGATTTAACGAAAAGTTACTTGTTTACATATAAGAAACGCACTATTTTATATCATTGTTAATCGCCGGATGCAGTAGGAACTCGCAACACGGAAGTGAAGTTTATGTTTTTATTATTTTATACGTTCTCTTTCTCCCAATCTTCATCATGTCGAACCAGAATCGCGGTAAAACCAACGAGAGATCACAGTTGATATCTGACCAAGAAAATGATGGGATTTTCAACAGTCTTGGTCGAGGATGTTTGGTAAGCGACTGTCAATGTCATTTCGTCCTCAACACGTTTCGTTCTCAGGTGCTTGTGTAGTCAAAATTGAATCAGGGTCAGCTCGGCCCTAAAACGTACTCGGCCCCCGAGTCATCTCGGCCCTATTCCAACTCGGCATGGGTCAACTCAGCCAATAATTATATATTACTGGTAATGGTTACTTTTATTACTTTTTATATGTTTTCATCATAACTTTCATTGTTTAATATTTTGACAGTAACAGACCTCTACTCAAGGATATTGGAAAGTTTTTTTGATGAAAGTACCAATTTGTATATAGAAAGAAGGAATTTACAATTTATATGCATGGTTTGCCTACTCCAGATGTTTTTATTAAAATATTGTTAAAACAGCATTGGTCATATTAAAGAACAAAATTACATTTATTGTCACAAAATTCTATCTAAAAACTCTATTTATGGATCAACATTTAACATATATTGTCTTGAAATATCTTCTTAACGAAGATAATTTCAAGCAATATACGTACAGGTACAGTACGTTGCCAACTTTTTCAATTTCTGTTTGTAAGTGATCATACTTCTGAATAACTTTATAGTAATTTACTCCTAAAAATTTTTATTAACTAAACAATATATATCCTAATTTAGGTTTTTAATAGTGGGCCGAGTTGACCTGTTCCGAGTTGATCCGTGCCGAGCTGGTATAGGGCCGAGTTGACCCATTACCGTCAAAATTGACGTGCCAAAGCTAGAATCCGAGATAGTTTCGTTCTGGGTCAGAATCTCGCTTCTAGAGGCCAGATATTGCCCAAACACATATGGTTCTGAAGTACATGTATGGTCTCCCCACACCAAAACACAAATAGAAAAATAGAAAATGTCCAAAGAAAAGTAGGCTGATGGATTAAGCTAGATTATGGTCAGACCTCTAGTGTCACGGACATGTTATAGGTTATTCCAGCAACTTCAGGCTATTATGAATTCTCGTTCTTTCCTTAGGACGGTATACCACTGCAACCACCTACCCCTTGCAGTAGCCCTACTCCCTACCCCAGAGCATTTCAGTGTAGCCATAGCTTGCATCGAACATGTCTCATCCTAGTTTTCCAGCCCTTGTTTTTAATATATTAATATTTAATATTCTTTTATCCTCTTTTTAAACAACCTCTTTAAACTTTCTTGCGATTTTTGAAGAGCCAGTGATTTTTTTTTCAATTTTGAAAACAACCTGTGGCTTTCTGAAGGGGAAAATATAGCGTGATAAATCAGAAAAGGGGAAAATCAAATTCTAAGAACTGAGAATGGTTTACCTACACATATTTTAGAATATTCAATTTCAATTCAATTTAACATCCATGATACAAAGCAGAGGCTATCTGTAGGGACAGCGTTCTGTCTTAAGCTAATATAGGTCAGCTGCTGTTAAGTCATGGCCCTAGTGAAAAGTCTGCAAAGGGCATTTTAGGGGAAAAATAGTAGCATTTTAGGGGAAAATATACCTATTTAGGGCTAGGGGAAACAGCCTTTTTTCGGCTGTAAAATACAGGAAAAAAAATCACTGAGAGCAGACATGTCTACATCCCCGCGAGGGGTTTGGCATTAACGGAAGATAGAATTACATGTAGATAAACACAAAATGGCACAATATCTCATACACATTATAATTATTTGGACTAGTGCATGTGGATCTCTTTATTAATAAGTAAATAAATTAAAATGATTAAGGCAAAAACTCAAAGTGAGCTCTCTGACTGAATTTATAACACATAACATTATCTATTTATTAAACCCATAGGCTGCACCACAGATATATAAACAACGGATAGGAAACTCCGAAAATAGACAAGAGTCCGATTCAGACCCACAATCCTTTGCGCGCTTCGGTGATAATCAGGCATTCACGCTATCGTTAAACTTCGGCGATATCTGTGAATTATTGCTTACATTGCCGACATGGATTTTCATCGGAGAAATATTTGTGTGGAAAAGTGTGTTTTGTATGTTTTAGAATAAATATCTATTGCTTCTTATAAGTAAAAAATGTTTAGTCTTTTTTGTTGATGTACCTCTGGGAATTCAATATGGCAATATTTTGGCTACTTTTACCCAGGATGCATCAAATCTCGCAAAATCTTGTGATCTATGATAACTTGCAGGAACACTATTCTGCCGGTACTGATTTTAACTGTGTGATGTCACAGTCTCTTCTCCATCTTATATTTAGCTCCATGGCTGCACAAATTTTGAAATTATTTTTTTTTCCTATATACTTAAACCACAAAAAGGTCACCTAGTGGCTAATAATGCTATGAAGCTTAACTAGGACAGGCTGTGGAACAACCACAATGTCAAGTTCTGTCACAATTCAGGCAACTTTGCTACATCGTGCAATTAGAAAATTTTTAACATTCTTCTTCTACCTGAACCATATCTACAATCTTGAATAACTTTCATTTAAACTTTTAAGTGGAACAGTACAGTGTAGGTTTTGTACTTTCGTTTTCGACAAACTGTCCGATCATCACCATTTTTTTGCAAGATTTCAACAAATTGGAGTATCCAAGTTTCAGTTTAAGTTATTTAAAATTGTATATAAAGTTAAAGAAGAATGTTAACAATTTTCTATATAAACTGGATGAAAAGGAAGAATACAAAGAAACCACATATCTATATAGGATTTTTTTTCTTCAAAACATTGTTTCTTTCATTTATCACAGACAAGTTGTTTTTGTTTTGTTTTTGTTTTGGGGGGGGGGGGGGGGGGCGGGTTTATGGGCCCCAAGACTGGACAAGCACCTGTGAAATCAAATGCATACTTTTACAAAATCAAAGCACAGAAGGCGCTGAATTTGTTTGGGTCTCCAAATGTCAGAAAGGTGAAGGTTGTGAGATTATAAACCAATTTGTTTTTGTATAGTGCCACCAATGCTTTCCAGCGTTTTAATTGTAGTTAATTGGCTAAAAGACTTATTGCAACACTGATATTCAATCCAATGTTTATTTGACTTAAATAATTTGAAAAAAATGAGTTGCCTTATCTTGGATTTAAACTCCAGACCTCTCGCTTCCTAAGCGTTAACAGTGTTAATATTAACAGCGTTAATGTTAACAGCCTGAAGAAAACCATATTATTCTAAATTAGGGTTTGTAACGACGCTAACTGTTGTTTAACACTTGTGTAAATAATCATGGCGCTTACTATAAGCATGTTTATCTATAAAGAATAAAACAATATTAGAAATCTTCGACCATTCGGGAATTATTTTGCTTGAAAATTAATGCGCCTGTCATTTGACCATCTTTACGCAGTGATCTCCCCTGAATTTTTCGGCGTTAGTGTACATATAAAGGGAAGTAACTGCTTCAAAAAAGTGGACTACTTTCGGCATTTGCAATTAACAGCATTAGAGTCTGAAATTTCGCTACCATTATTTGTTTGGTCTGACGACCCAAACAAATAAAAATGAATTGTTTATAATGAAAATCTAAAACAGGCATAAGGGTACCACTCTGCTAATAGATTAACTTTTATTTACAATCAAGGGTAATGTTAAATGACATGTATATCACAACCTGCTATAATAAATAGAGATAATTTATGTTTAAATTTGAGTTTATTTAATCATTTTTTTATGCCCCCACAGAGTGGGAGCATATAGCGTTGCACTTGTCCATCCGAGTGTCCGTCCGTCCGTCCGTACGTCTGTCCGTACGTCCCGAAATCTTGTGAATGCAACTCCTCTTAAACCGGATGGCAGATTTTGCTTAAACTTCCAGGGATGAACAACCTTAATGTGTAGATGGTACTTAAGGAAGGAATTGTTGCTGCGACCAAATTTAACAGAATTATGGCCCTTTTGTTGATTTTTTTACTATGTACTATGAAGAAATTTTGTGAACGCAACTCCTCTTAAACAGGATGGCAGATTTTGCTTAAACTTCCAGGGATGAACAACCTTAATGTGTAGTTGGTAGTAAAGGGAGGAATTTTTGCTGCGACCAAATTAAACAGAATTATGGCCCTTTGTTGATTTTTTCACTATGTACTATGTAGAAATTTTGTGAACGCAACTCCTCTTAAACCGGATGGCAGATTTTGCTTAAACTTCCAGGGATGAACAACCTTAATGTGTAGATGGTAGTAAAGGAAGGAATTTTTGCTGCGACCAAATTTTACAGAATTATGGCCCTTTGTTGATTTTTTCACTATATACTATGTAGAAATTTTGTGAACGCAACTCCTCTTACATCGGATGGCAGATTTTGCTTAAACTTCTAGGGATGAACAACCTTAATGTGTAGATGGTAGTAAAGGAAGGAATTTTTGCTGCGACCAAATTTAACAGAATTATGGGCTTTTGTTGATTTTTAGTTTTCAACTTGTGGCACATGTAGTCCAAAAAATATTTGACCTAGAGTCATAAGATTGACAGAGCAGTGGCGTGTGGGGGCATCCGTGTCCTATGGACACATTTCTAGTTTCAAAATATTTTTATTTTATTTTAATCCAAAAACCATTATTACTTAGGTAAATTTTCCAGAGAAACATCATTTAGCTAGGTTTTCAAATTATTTAAAGAGTTTATGCTTCATTCCACTTATGTCAAGGGAAAAAGACTAGTAGTCTGGTCACAATTTGATACAAATTTAAAGATGAAAAATAGGATCAAATTACATATTTCAAATGTATCCATCAATTATTAGAATTTAGATTTCTCATAGATCAATCAAATTGATAACGATTTTTTTAGCTTATTATGATCTCTATAAGTTACGATTACATAAAGCAATTAAAAAGTAAGACAGGATAGTGTTATATAATTCTGACCCTTTCTTTGTTGATACAGGGCTTGACTTTCAGATTTTTTCAAAACCCTTTAAAATCTGCATTTTGTGGGAATATTCAAATAGTAATATCTATCAAGGTGCTCAGTACACTTTAAAACTTAAAGGTTAGTGACTCATTACACAAATTTTTATGTTCCAACTCAATATATTCAAGCCTGAATGATCATCATATTTGAAATTGAGTAAACACAAGTTCAAATGGCACATTTGACCAGCCAATATTCACTATTAGAAATCACCATGTCCACAACTTCTTGGCTTAAGCCTGCTGGCAGTTATAGATTCTGCCCATACCACCAGTGCAGACTGTCTTATCTTGGCTTGTATTGTTCCCTATTCAGTCAGTACATGTTTATATTTTGAAATTTCCCCTGAAATGAGGAATGGTTTTGTCCAGATTAAAAGATTTTGTCCAGATTAAAAGATGGACAAGTCTATTATAAATATTAAGCAATTGGTAAAGGTTAATAAGCAGCTGCCATTAAGATGTAACAGTATCTGTTGCTGTTATTTTACTTAAACAAAATCCACAAAATTCTTGTTAGACCATCATAGAAACACACAGGTACTGATTCAGCTGAACTACCTACACACAAAGTCTATATGTAACAAGTATGCATAGGTTTACAGAGGATGTGTTAAACATGAAGTATGCACACACAAACAAACTTGTATAAATTTAAGACGACTTAAATTTGTAAAATTTTAGACCATTTAAATTTTGAATTTCTGTAAAAATAATTGGATTTTAAAGCACTATTGTTTGACCATGAACCATAACTCAAGTATGGCATTCAAATTAATGATCATAAACTTCAATCCAATGTTGGCAAGTAATACAGTCCTTAAATATGTCATTGATTTAGAGGCAAAAGTGAACTTGTTCACTCTCATGACAAATTGGACACATTTCAAAGATGTTTAATTTTCAAATTGACTACTTATGAAATAATAAAATAATATGTATCTCAAATAAGTCTTCAATTATAATAACATATGATATTGTTTTATACTTCAGTCACTGTCAACAGCAGTAGTTCAGTTATACCTGGCAGAAGCTTCTAACAGACAGAGATGGAACAAACGATGTTGTGGTGTCGTCTGCTTTGTCAAGGACAATCCACAAAGGTCTTACTTCATAAGATTGTATGATCCCAAGGTAAACATGCAAACCTTATATGATATTTTGAGGCATTTGTTGTCTATACTTTTCAAGACAGCTGGCTTTGGAATGTTTTTACCCTACTACTGCTTGTGATGTAAAATAAGCTGTGTCATGACTAAACCAACATAATGCGTTTTCGACCAGCATGCATCCGCGCAGTCTGATCAGGATCCATGCTGTTCGCTTACCAACCCTATTACAAGTAGCATAACTAATAGCGAACAGCATGGATCCTGATCAGCTGGTCTGGATCCATGCTGGTCGCAAATGCATCGTGTTGGTTTTGTCATGACGTGGCTCAAATTTTTCATTTGTGAAAGGTATCTTAGTAGCTTGTGCAAGGTGGGTTGGTTCTGCTTAAGGTATTCATAATGGAAAGTGGAAAACATGATATCTCTCTCTACCAGTGTTTCCAGAATTCTACCAGGTTACCTTAAAGTTATCAGATACAGAACAAAGCAACCATATAGGAAGGCAGCTGCTTTTGTTTACAAAATGGAGGGTAAGACACACTGATTCTAGGTATTGAAAGTGTCACAGATTTTATTTTAAGCACCATTTCAAATGAAAAAATAAAAAAAAGCCTACTCTCTACTAAAAAGGTTAGTCTTTTTAAATAAAAAACAAAATAAAGGGTCACTCTTTGATCATAAACAAACTATTCTAATTGAATTCCCAATTTGTTTTTCTTTACAGTATTGGTCATTTGACATTTATGTATATGTTTCCAACACCTGTGTCATGTTGTTCTGTCATTCCTGTAAACATACGTACATGTTAGATATCTCCATATATCAACCGTCCACTTTGATCATTGACAATAGTAAATAATAATATTTCTGATTAGCCCTTGACAGGTTTACGATTTAGAAATGATTAAGAAAATAACTGACAAGATACTTGGTGTCCTAAAAGGTAAACTCGAGCCATTAAACACCTGGATTTTGACAGCAACATGTTCGGTTTCTAATTTAATTGTTTCCGTTTGGCTAAACTTGCATGATAACATGATTTTCATGTTCGTATAGAGTGAAGTAATGCAGTGTAACAGTACAGTCATGACTGCAGTTTGTTACATCATTTAAATAACATATTTGCATGAATTAGAAACAGGTTTAAAATTGTGATGGCTTGAATTTAGTTATATATTTAACTTACAAGCAATGTATGATGATAAAAACTACAGGTGCATAATGCCGAATGACTTGGTTATTTCTTAAAGGAAAACAATACAGGAGAAAACAAAAAGAAAATTGTTCTGAATAGTTTATTTTGAATATTTTGAATAATGTGAAATGTCATTCCGTTTGTCTTAAGGCTGTAAAACTGTGGTGAATTTTCATGATTTATACTAAATCTATTGTTAATTTTCCTTTCAAATAAGTCATAGATTCAGCGTGTTAGTGAATACAAAGTTTTAATGTGGTTTGAAGCAAGGACATTTATGATAATTTTTGATGGAGCTCATTTTAATTGGTTGGAAATTTTCGTATGAAATAGCCTAAGATATTGCACAAGATACTTTATACTGATAATATATATTTGGCCATGACATCATTTTTTTTTGCGTATTACCTGTTACCTTAGTGACACATATATGTTAAGTTTTTCATGACTTTTGTCATAACCACATGCTATATATATATTATGTAGCAATGATGCTCTCATTGGTTTAATTGCTACATGCATGATGAATTGATAAATTGTTGTGAAAATAGTCAATCAACTTCATCTGAGGTTTGGTAATTAGATAGGTTAGTAAATAATAGAGAACAAGTATTTAGTATATATCATATTAATCAGGTAGATATGTTCTTACAATGTCATCCTCATTAATGGGGTTTTACTTGATACATTACTTGGTTAATGTTAAATTGAGAAACAAATGTTATTTTATAACAATTTCTTTGTTGAGAAATTAATTTAGTGAACAGTATGACCAAATAAGAGCTCAGGGAAACGGGTTGAAAACATTAAGTTGATTTATGTATAAAGTTACTATATATTTTATGTAAATGTATGCTATGTAGTAAAACTTTCCAAATTCCACCATGACTTTAATGAAATTAAATATCTCTTACAAAAGTTATAACTGCCCTATATAGCTAAAGTTTAATTTTGGATTGTTTGACAACAAAACAAAAGGGCAAGATAATCTTAAAATTAATTGAGAAAAAAAAACCAAAACAAACAAAACAATAAAGAAAATATTTACAGGAAATCACCTTAAACTTGAAATACTTGTATACTACCAAGGGGAGACAAGTCTACAAAAGACTTTTAAGGAATTTGCCTCCTATACTGTCCAGCACTGGGAAAAGTTGAGTGTACTCTCCACAGGCAGGTCTTGTTTCAGTTTAGTGTTTGATGTCTATGAAATCAAATAAAACAGATTTGTTTTTTATTTCTTTGATTATGTAGCCCTGTAATGAAAAAGGTCCTTTTCTGTAGTTCGCTATTGTTTGAAAACAGTACTTTGTGTACTGTTGGTTTTACATTATTATTGCTTATATGTTTGTTCAGTTTAGTTTAAATTGTTATTTATAAATTATTTATATCGAGATCAAATTTGAATGTGAACCATTCTAGCTCATCATGAACCACTCCTTGACTTTTTGAGGGAAATTTTACTCAGTTTAGAAAAAAAGTTGATTATATAGTTAACTAATTAGATTTATGTGTTCTAGAGTTGAAGCTATGTCTTTAGTTACAGTAACTTAGAGTGATGAGCTAATTGGTTGACTGCATGTAAATTGATTTACCTCATTTTGTATCTCATCACTGTCAATATTATGTAATGTTATTACTGGTAATTATAGCCTTGTCATTCTACTGATGAGACGTGTTACAGTAGTCACACTGTCTCTGTATCTGTCACTTTGTCTGTGTCTAGTCAGCCTCTAAAATCCTTGATTTAAATGTTACCTGTATTTTCAGTACAAGCCATGTTAAATAGTGTGTTTATTGTACTGAAAAATGTTGTGGTCATTTTAATATATCTTATGCTGGCAAAAATTTAGGTCAATGTTAAGTAAAGGCCTCAACAGACTATAGGATTTTGAAGTACAACACCAATTAAAACTAAGATGTACAGGCAAATCTTCATATGTGAAGGCTACTATTTCTTGAATTCAGAAACCTTAAGATAGGACATGTTCTATTTTGAAAATCTTGTCGCACAAATTTCTACAGACCTCCCACAATGACAAGTAACAGATTACCAAATTATCTCCTGATAATGGGTGTAATAAATGAAATTCCAGAACAATTAGGGCTAAAAGGTAAACATAGTAGTATGATGGGGTAAAAGTGATGTTGAAAAACTATTCAGGCCGGATAGCTTAGTCAGTAGAGCCGCAGTACAGTATTCCAAGGGTTTGAGTCTCGGTCAGGCTTCACATTAAAAAAAATATATATATATATTTTTTAAATGGAGGTGTTTCAATCATTACTCATGGCGAAAAAAGTATTGAGTGAGTAAAGTATGTAAAGGATCAATTGGGAGGGACCCTTTTTAGGGGAAACCTCAGATGATTTCTACAGTGTAGAATTACTGTCTGAATGCTAGTGTTGTATTGCTTTGAAAATTGTACATCTTATCTCTATTTAGTGCTGTACACCTAAATCCTACCGTCTGTTGAGGCCTTAAGCTCTTCTCAGACAGTCCTTACCTTTACCACTGTGAGTCTAATATTAAATTTCTTTATAGTTTATCAACCAATCTGATACTTTGCTGCCAACACTTAAGTTTATATCTTATTTTAAAACGTAAAATGTCGATAAAAACTGTTTTTAACATTTTAGCTTAATTTACTAGTTTAATATGATAAATATAAATATTTGCCATGTATTTCAGAGTAAGCAGATATTATGGGAACAAGAGATTTACACCCAGTTCAAGTACAAGACACCAAGAGAGTATTTCCATACATTTGAAGCACATGTAAGTTGTTTTCAGTGATATTTTCATCAAATTGTACTTTAAAAAAAAGAATAGTTTTATGGGCAGTAAAAATTCAAGGATTTCAGTATATCAAAATACAAAAAAAAATGAGCTATCCAACAGTAAAGAGGCTGGTCAGACTTCACAAATGTAAAACATGAAGTAAAGAGTTATAGTAAAGATATATAAATGGATGTTTATGTCACAGTTCAAAACTGTTCACTAATAAGTAAAGAAAATGTTTAAGTGGCTGGATAAGTATAACACAGCCGATTGGGCTGCAGTAGAGTATTCCGAGGGTACCGGTTTTGAGTCCCACATAGACTGCACATTTGTCTCACCATTTGTCATCACCATTTGACATCTATATGATATACAGGATTGTCAAGCTGGATTGAACTTTGCTAGTGAAGATGAGGCTGCTAAGTTTAAGAAAGTTGTGGAGGGAAAGTTGATGGAGAGGCACAAGAAACGACTTGGTAAGGTTGCATTCTGAAGAAAAATTTAAATAAGAAAATAAAAACTTTAGGAAAAAGTAATTGATAACATTCCAAAGTCTTAACTTTACATTCACAAATTTAAAGAAATATTGGAATTTTCTCACTGTAAATATATGAAATTCTACAAACTTACAAACATTATTTTAGAATCTAATGTATTGAAAGTCACACATGCAAATGGAATGTCAATGGATAGAAAATTGTGTATTGATGTTAGACTCAAGTTAGTTGTTGTTAAATGTTGTCCCCATTACAGAACGGTAATGTTTTTCCTGTAGACACAAATATATATCAATATATTAAGTAAAAGTAAATCAGCATATGGATACATACACATATAATATTGGATATGTGAATGGTTGATTTATTGTTATAGAGAAGAAGAAGCAGCAAGGTGGAGGTTCAAACACTACATCTCCTCCGGTACCAGCTCACGCCGGCTCTGGCACCATGATAGTCGGTAAGTTTAAATAATACGCTTAATCATCCATAGTGCATCTAAGAAAAACTGTTGTGCTTTGATCATAATTTAAGCTTATCTGGCATTCTATCTTTGAAACAAAAGTAGCAAACGATAAAAGCAAACTAGTTTGAATGTAGTTTCAACAATATTTTTCTTTACTGTTATAACAGAATTGATATTTTGCTATACATTATGTATAATACATAAGTTGAATATTTCATAGTTTGGTTTTGTACTTTTCTTGGAATGAATACATTTTTGTAATAAATCAGCATTTATAAGGTAACCTGGTATTTACAGGTTCCGGACCGCCCCCGTCCAGTGGTAACGTCACTCTGAACAAGCCTCCCGTGAACACGGTGAAGGCAGCACCAAAGAAGAAAGATAAAGGAAAGGACAAGGGAAAGAAGAAGCTGACCAAGGAAGATATTAGTACACCTACTGACTTCAGACATGTCAGCCATGTTGGCTGGGATCCTGACTCTGGTTTAGATGTAAGTTGTATTATATGATAATAATATAAAAATAATATAAAGTAAGACAGTAACAGTCAAGACAGTTTAATGTCAGATAGTTATATCGGTGCAGAAGTAAATTTGTGACTATACTGAGGTTTTGAAACCTTCAACTGACATGTTTGAGTCATGTTTTTACCTTCAGCAGTTTCTTGGTATTACTATTCTAGGTGATTCATGTTGTCAGAGACATAGATAACAGAGATAAGCAGCTGCTATATACTCCATTGAAATATCACTCATGCCTATCAAAAAGTGAAAAATTAGACATTTTGTAGCAAATAAAACTTGCATGTACATTTGATCCTTTAATATTATATACCATTTGAAAGGTAAATCTTTTATCTATTGCTGCATGTTAAAATATTGGTAACTTTCCATGTCTTTCACTTAGAAAAACATGGCAGAACTTACCCACTTAGCCAGTTTTTTGTCATATGAATAGTTTTGTAACAAAAATTATTAAGTAGATTAAGTAAAAAATGATGTATCATTTATTTAAATGGGAACTGTAAATATTTTTACCTGCAGCCATAGACAAATGCATAAGCTTTCAGAAAATGTATTATTTTACTGATTTTGATATCAGGTTAATAAGTTTTACTTGCTACAAGATTTAAGTTTAGCAGGCACGCGTGATATTAATTAACTGGCTAGGAAGTTGCTTATCTCTGTTATCTATGTCTCTGACGTTGTGAAAAAGTTGGCTGGTATTTGTAGACAAAAGTTGGTCAAGAATACAAGAAAATTGAAAATTAACTGTTTATTGATACATAACTGTACAAGTGTTGCCAATGGGTGCTAGACAAAGATGAACAAATGAAATAATATGGTGTATATTTATGTGGTACATATATTTACAGATGAAGAAGTTAGACCCGGAAATGAAGGCATTGTTTGAGCAGATCGGTATAGATGATCAGTCACAGATGGATGAAGAGACTATGGACTTTATCTATGACTTTGTTGACAAACATGGTGGTTTAAATGCTGTTAGAGAAGATCTAGCCAGGCGTAAGCCGCCTGCAGCCCCCACCCATCAAGCAGGTCTGTATAATGTTGCATTATAAATTATAATTAATTAACATGTTATTGTATCAATTAATTTCTGATTGATGTTAAAGTTATGATAAAACAGGTTATATAACCTCTTTTTTTTCAAAGATAAGGTGTGGCATGTTCTGTCAGTTTCGTTTTCCTGTGTGTTTGATTGATACATTAATGAATTGACAAGTTGTGACAAAATGAACATTTATCTCTGTCTCCAGATGCTTGTATGTGTCTATAATTAGATTTAATTGTCTCCAGATGCTTGGATGTGTCTATAATTAGATTTAATTATGCAGCTTAAGTTAAGTAAGAAGGTAATAGATAAACTACAGCTGCTGCTACTTTATAAACAAAAAAGTCTTTAAACATAATTTTTATTCAAAGTAAATAAAAATAAAATATTCTGTTTATATTATGATTGATTTATACCATACTGTGAGACAGATGTACAAGTCAAGTTTTAAATAAGGCAGCTTGTTTAAATATGAATAAATCAAGTTTAAATATTCTATGTCTTGATGTTTTCATAATTGTCATATTAGCGTTTAATTGAAAATCTTACTGATTTCAGGGCCACCACCCCCTCCTGGGCCAAGAGCTCATCCCCCTCCTGGGCCAAGAGCTCCACCTCCCCCAGCAAGAAATGCTGCACCACCGCCTCCACCATCACATCGTGGGGCAGCACCACCCCCACCTCCAGGACGTCATGGAATGGCGGCTCCACCCCCTCCTCCTCCAGGAAGGCCAGGAATGGCAGCCCCGCCTCCACCTCCTGGGAGGCAACCAGCTGCTGCTCCTCCTCCACCTCCAGGTAGAGGCGGTCCACCCCCTCCACCACCAGGAAATATTCCTGCCCCACCTCCACCACCTCCTGCAGCCCCTGCATGCCCCTGCACCACCCCCTCCTCCCCCTGCAATGCCATCTGGTGGTGGGGCACCTCCCATGCCCCATCCAACTCTGGTAGAACTGGGCTACTTGATGCAATACACAAAGGAACTACTCTAAAACATGTTGAACCGGGTCAAGGTATAGGTGCAAGTGATGCTAGAGGAGGACTTTTAGATCAGATTAGAGGAGGGACTACACTGAAAGCAGTAAGTATAAAAATTAATGATTTTGAGTCCAATTAAATATATTTATCTTGATATATTTCCATTATATGGGAAAGGTTTTATTTGCACTTTATATTGACATGTACTTAAATGCTTAGCCCTTTCTGTTTCCTAAGTATGCTTGCTCAATTTGTAAGCTTACTGAATTTGTAAGTCAAGTCTTTCTTGATTTGCACCTTATTGGAGATTATGTAATAAATTTGTATTTTAAGATTTAGGTTGATTTATATGAATACTTTAATTTTATAGATGTAGATTTGTTCATTTACTGTGTATAGAAGAATAAACGCTTGAATAAATTTTTCCAGGCAATTAAGGTTAAAGTTATAACATTAGAAGATCTAAAAAAGATCTGTTTATATGGATATTTATGAAGTAAGTTTGGACTGTAATCTACATTGTTATAATATTATGAGCATGTATATTTAAAGGTGGATCATTCTAGCAAGCCGGCTGCAAGTGCTGATTCTGGCGGTGGTATTGTTGGAGCGCTGGCTGCTGCCCTGGCACAGAGGAAGAATGTCATTCAAGGCTCTGGTAAGATTCTTGTATTGTTTGTTGTTCCATATGACAGTGTTAACAAACAAGGACAATTATATGTTGTCTTGTTACTAACTGAATTTTTTTTCAATAAAAGTGGTTTTGATTTGCACAAAACACAGCTTTCTTAAGGTATATTTATATGATAAGTCCTTGTTTAACGGAAGGAAATATTTTATATTTGTAAAGAATGTATATTAAAAAAATCTTACCCTGTGATGGATTCAATCTTGCCACCAAAGGCTTTCAAATACAGAGCAAACTATAGTGTGGCCCTCTGTGGAGCAATAATATCCTTTAAATAGCAGTAACAGTTTTTTCTAAAAGGATAAATTTAATTTTTCTAACAAACAGTAAGAACATGTACATCTTAGTTTCCTCAAGAGTGTTGGTTAGCAGAGTTTGTATTGTAAAAACAACACTAAACACTGAGCCAATGTTTTGGTTCCACGATATTAATTGAACTAACATTTGTTTCACAAAATTTAAACATAACATTACTAGTTTCTTTAATGTCGAGAATTCTATATATGATGATATCCTTCATTTAAACAAAGTCTAAAAATTGCCATAATGTAATTTATACATTCTGTGACTGCTTTGTTGGACTGTACCCTCATTACTTTTATGTGTTTAACATGTTTATTTATAGCATGTTATTTTATCATATCAACTGATGAGCCTTATGAAAGAGAAACATGTTTTGATAAATTGTTTTGGTTCACATGTTTATTTGAAGACATAGTATGGTTATGACCCAAATAAGGTTGAAACTCATTATACAAGGGATAAGCCTGCAAATAAGTTATCAAAGATTAGAATCAGATACATTGACCATTAGGCAACTGCTTCTCATAATATTCCATTGCAGTTGAAAATTCAAATAATGCAATAGATAAGTAACCATTTATACATCCATCAGTTGTATGTAAACTGACATGGTAAAAGTCAAAATGAAACGGTTAATTATATTATATATATATATTTCAGATGATGAAGATGATAGTAGTGATGATATAGATGATGATGACGATGATGAATGGGATGACTAAAAATGTTTCTTCATCTCATCATGCATTCCTTCCAGCTTTTAGAAATGATGGACATTTTGTACTACAAGATTATTTTTAAATGTTGTGTTAAAATCATGAACTGATCTATAATGTGTAATATTTTATGTGCTTTTCAAACTTTCAATACTAACTTAAATATACTTTGTAAGGGTCATTTAATTCAGGAATGTTTCATTTATAGTGAAGATCACAGTTACAAATGATTAATGTGAAAAATTTACTTTTGATCAACTTGTACATGAAATCAGAAACATTCATTAGGTCTGTTACAACATGACCTACAATTTAAGCAATGTTCTGGATTTTCTATTTAAAAATTTTTACTTAAAGCAAATTTCTGGATTGTCTATTTAAAAATACTTACTTAAAGCAAATTTCTGGATTGCCTATTAAAAATTCTTACTTAAAGCAAATTTCTGCAATTTCCAGCTAAAAATTTTACTTGATGCAGATTTTTGTGGGTCTTTAGGCTCCATCTTCAACCATTACCATATTCATAAACATCGTGATTGAAAAATAGTTAAAAGCTACTGCTTAACTAAAATCATATCTTTAAAGCGGCACGCCTTCAGATTCATGCTAATTTTCATGAAAATTTTGAAAATATGTTTCGAAGTTTTATTCAGTGAAATAACCAAAAGGAAGCAATTTACACAATATCTATGGCACTTACAACCTACGTAAATTACTAAAAAGAGGACAAAATATGCAAAAATAGCCCTTACTGCGTTAGTAACACAGTAGAAATATAGTTATAAATACTTAAAAATTGGTCATTAATCGCACATAACATGTAAATTATTACTAGAACTTTGAATATTTACACTTTTCCTAAAATCTTAGTACATTTTTCTCAGGTTTGGTTTTATTGAAATATTTTCGCTCATCTGGAGGCGTGCAGCTTTAAACAACAGCAGAGACATTCTATGTTACAACTCTTTGTAACAATTGACTGTAAGATTATGGAAGCAACATGATTTGCCATGTTTTGGTTTTTATCACCGTAATATAGATATAAAGTTATTGGCAATTTCTGAGAAATAGACAGTCAGAAATTTTCAAATTTAAGGATTCTCATAGGAAGATAAAGTATGGTGAAGACTTGTCATTATTTGATTGATACAAATTATGATACAAATAAGCAACACAATTTTCCATGTAAATTTTTATTTCATGATTGACAAGAACAGTGTAAATATTTCAGAAAATTTCTACTGTGATATGTTAAAAGTGATATAATTGACAGAAATAAAACCTGTATACATCAGAAAGTCTAGTTCTGGTCAATTTTTACCATACTTTATAATAATATTATAAACTCTTTGCCATTATTTACCACTGCATATAAAAACTAAGGTAAAAAAACTCCCAGTTTACCATTTGAACTAAAATCATTTCATTTGTAACTGGTTTATCGTTACATGATAAACAGTATATATATGTCTAGAAATATATAAAAAAAAATTAATAAAACTGAAGCAATCACTTGCCATTCATGCAGTATAATATTCCATAGGGTTTAAATATGTATATACTAACATGTTATTTTATAATTTATGATATCACTTAGGATATGAACAGAAATATGAAAGTTCAACATTTTGTGTAACATTAGCACTTGTTGCCTTTGTTAGAGATCTTCAACATAAAAATTCTGGTGAGTGTTTAAAGCTTTATCGAAAAAAATCAAGTGAAAACTTGTCTTTTACATAGGTTAATGAACAAATTGAGCACATTTTAGGTTGTTCTGTTGGCTTTATATACTTAATTTATAACTAAGAGGTTCCAATAGAGGTTACTGGATATAGTCCTAGGAAAAGATATTCCTCTTGTAGCAGCAACCGAAGTAACAACCAATTTTCCTTAAGTGAACATAACTTGACTTTCACATTCAGTGAGTCCAAATATTTCATAACATGGAACATAGTTAACGATATAAAAAAAAAATCTGGAAAATCTATGGATAATTCCATTTATTTCTTAGCAAAAGAAAACTGCTGAACCTAGCCAATTAACAAAATTTAACTTCAAGAAACTGTTAACCATAACCACAAGGAATCGATTTTCGTTACAGATTCTCATAAAAGTGCTTGGTAAATTTATAGATGTATGATTTTCAAACCAACGCATGATGTATTTTTCTAAAGTCTATTTTCAAACTATGAAAAAATGGTTACATCAGACGGTATTATGATATCACAGGGTAAGTTCATGGGTGCAAGTTTTTTAGGCATATGCCCGAAGCTTAGGTTTTTTTGTGACAAATTTCATCCTGTTTTACTATTAGATTATGTAGGAAAATGATTATGAATTACAGTTTTCAGGTTTTTCCAAATTTTCAACTTGCACCCATGTAAGTTTGCCTAATAATGCACACAGGGATAGCATTTAAACTCGCAAATATATAATGTTGAAATATAAAAACACAGATTAGTGAACAATGTGCATGGGTATTTATGGTTAAAGTCGTAGGCAAAGCAGAATTCCCTCATAATTTTAACTTGCAGAATAAACATATACATACATATAAACATGTATATGGTATAACAAAAAAAGTATTTTAAAAGTTATACTGAGATATAGCATCCACCAGAACATACTGAGTACTTTTGATGTCCATGTAGAGATACCATCCTCCAATATATTTCATGCAGGTTTAATCCATGGTTTATTATTTGCAAAATTAAAAACAGAGTATTTATATGCCATTCACATTCACACAGTTTTAGATGAAAATAATTAAAAGAGATTCCACAGTGATTTTTTGACAAGACAGGATAACCAATCCTCTATTTATATGCCATTCACATTCACACAGTTTTAGATGAAAATAATTAAAAGAGATTCCACAGTGATTTTTTAACAAGACAGGACAAGACCTAGATCAAAAACCTGTATGTTAAAAATTTCAAGTCATTCACTCAATCTGTTTTTCCCAGAATAATCACTTTACAAAATGACCCCAAAAAGAAAGTGTCAAAATAGGCCATAAACTGCCTAACAAATGGTTCAGTCTAATTCTTATATTTATTATCCTGTATTAAGTGTCCCTGTAGACCTATGTTAAGAATTTCAAATTTTACGTTTTTAAGCATTTTGACTTCAGTGGAACACTTTTGAGATATACCACATTAATAAGTGCTGTGTTGAATTAAAATAAATTGGTGTAACAAAAATATTGATGAAGTATACAAAATAATACATAAACAGAAACAATCCACTGCAAACAAAAATAAAATATGTAATTATATAAAACATTAAAGCTCAAGGCTAAATACTGTAAAACATCGAAAATATGAAAAAATAACACAAAAATTACATTAGTTGATATGTTGATTTCATAAACAATTATAAATCAATTAATAACTAATATTTGAAATTTGTTTGATATCTTATCAAGAGGAGAGAACACTAACAAAAAGTCCCAACAAATTTAATTCAGAAATTTTGCTACACATATTATTCTTTGTTGTCTTTCATTATTATATAATTTGTTAAGATAAATTTATTAATGATTAATTAATTCAGCATTGATTAAAAAGGTTAGTGGTGAAAATTACATTTTAACAAATGTATTAGAATTATACAGAAAGCAATGCCATGACAACAGGAGACTTGAAAGCTTCAACCTTATATAAGTCAGTTAACATATTTTGTACATATTTTAATTGTTCAAAAGGGCTTAAATTGAATACTACAATGTATAACAAAGAAATAATAAATCAAAATATCACATTATCAACAATCAGACAATGTCATAAAAGTACATGGAATTTATTTTTCATTTGAGCATGGTATCTATCAGGTTTGTGGATGGTCAGTGGTTCAAGCCAGGTTGCCACCAATGCCAACAATAATGCACACAGTCGTATCTCTGGTATTCCTCAAACAGTAATGCTGGAAAATCAATACTGGCATATAACCTTAACAGTGTCTGTTTGTGTTCAGTGTAAAAAATAGAATTTTGTAAAACACTGGTCATAAAAATTTTTGACCAATGATATACATTAACATGATGGTGTAAAGATAATTGTTGTAAAAACAGTAGCAAATAGACTGATATTAGAGATTCCTTTACACCAATAAGCATGTATAACAGTATAATAACTAGTCATAAACAAATAAATGTCTTAACAATTCAATTAGAAAAATAGTGAGCATTTAACAGTCATCTCCCTTCAATCACAGATAACACCAATGTCTAACTGTCAAATGTCAACGCCTCCAGAATTGTGTCAAATTCTTCTAAAACATAGAAATAAAGACATTAATTATTCAGAAGAAAACCAACAAAATCAGGGCTCGCGCTGCCAGGAGCCAATGAGCAAATTGGCTCTGAATACCCATTCTAATAATGATGTTTTGATCATGCTTGTAAACTTTAACATAAAAATCACCCAATTCTCAAAGTTGTATGTCATATGTTTGTTGATTCATCTTTTTTTTTTTAAAAATAAATATTTCCCTTTGGGGGCTGGCGACACATTTCTGTGTTTTTTTTAAACATGATGCAAAAAAAACAGTAATTTACATAACTAACTATCAATAGATCAATCAGAGAAACATTTGTGCAAAGTCATATCTTTCTTTTAACAATAACAACTTCATTTATCCATCAAGACTCACATCCAAGCTTCTAATTCAACATTCAATAATTATTTGACCTAAAATATACCCATTCTATCATTGCTATATTGGGGAAGAAGACATATGAAATTATCATATTCTATCACAGTTACAGGTAATAAATGTATAAACTTTATATGAGAATAACATCAAAATACAAACTCGTTCAGTCATACATGTATAAGAGATCATAAACATAAATCATTTGTGCTCTTTTTGTAGGAAAAAAAGGGTATGTGAGATCCAAGCTGCAAAGATTTTATATATAAAGATATTTCATTATTTGTAAGTATGGTCACAAATTCAATTTGTTTCTAAACAAGCTTCCTAAGACATTAAACAGATCACATAACCTATAGTTTCACTCCAGTCCCTTAACAAGTTAACCAAGGATTATGCAAAAAAGAACCAAAATATTTAAACAGATATTAAAGATTGAATGCATAAAAACACAATGAGACAAATCTAAACTTTACAGTAATAAAACACTTTTTTCTCAATTTTCTTATGATTGTATTTCATTTATTCATGATTTATCAATTTTGTACAAAATTTCATCAGAATATAAAATGAAGATTGTAATTTAAGCAAACTTAGAACTTGAAAATATCTTCAGGAAAACATAAAATACCCTGTTCTATACAAAACCTGTGTGTGACACAATAGGGCATAATTGTCATTTTTTCATTGAAAATACACACCTTTCACAAGAGTAACATTGAAAACATTACCAACATCATATACTGTAAATACAAGTACTAACTTAAATTTGTTCAACTAGCATCACTTTCCTCCCTACCAGTCCTTATAAGATTATTTGGCTGCATTAGTAGCATACATTTCTCGCAAAAAAAATCTGTTTCAATAACCCTTTTATTTCAAATGATGCAATTAGCAGAATCATTTTAAATCAAATTCTTTTACCTTGACTATTATAATAATAAAGAACTATCGTTGGGTCTGCTTAACACAAAGTTTTTTTTTAACCAACTAATTGTTTTTTTTATTCTAAGAGGTCTTGTTTTGAAAGTTAGAATGGTTGTTTATGGCCATCATCTCTGCATCTAGGCAAGAGGACATAACTCTGTCAATAATTTTTAATAAAATTATCCCAATTTTTCACTTAACCCTTTACCACATATATACGCGAAACAACGCACTTTCGACCCCCCCCCTTTTTGGGGCCTCAAATAGTGAAAAAATGTCCTATTTGGGCCCTAAACATAAGTTTTCGTTTGAGAAATGTTGCTTAAAAAATTGAGCACTTTTTCGGCACCGCCCCCCCATCCAAAAGATACATCAGGGGGTTGCCAGAAGGGGGATGTGCCCCCTTCTGTTGGGGGGGGGTTTGAAGGGTGGCGGAGTCCCCCTCATCGCCAAGAAAATTTTGGACTTGTGAGAGGCTAAAAATGACCCCAGGTCGACCATAATGGAACGTTTAACCAAAGCTGAAAAGCCTTTGACTCTATCTCAATCCCTTGAGAAGTTGCAGCACTTTGAAATAAATTTTGATGGAAAAAATCGAGGCAAAATAGTGATTTTTGGCAATTTTGAGATGTCCCCTCGTTGCCATGGTAACAGGAAATTTAAGACTGAGCATGTCGTTACAAAGGCAATGGTCCAGTCAACATTTGTGCCAAGTTTGATTAGTATTGAAGCATTTTTCATAGTTTCATAGCAGTTTGAATTTGTAACAGGAGGCTTTTCAGTGAAAACGGCCGTTTTTCACAATATGCTCATGGGGGAAAGGGTTAAAACTGCAATACGTTTACTTTGATCTCCCCTCTTTTTTCTTTTCATTTTAAAGTAATAGCTCAAAACAAAACTTTTGATATTTGTTGGTAAGAATCACCTCCGAATCCAGACAAGAGACATTATTCTGTCATACATTCTGACAAAATTGTTCCCCTTTTTCGACAGAATTTTGGCTTAATTTCTGTACCATCTCACTGTTTAGTATACGATAAATATCCATCACTGTATAATTATTAAACTTATCTATGTCCTTTTTCAAACATACTAAATGTTTTACTTCTCCTGACTTATTTAACTTATCTGCCCATTTCCCACTTTCAAATAATAGTTTTTAAGGACCTCTCTTTACTACCTTATCAAGTAGAAGTTTTTAAGACTGGTTCTTATTCAACTATCAAGTACTTGAACAGCTCTAGGTTTATCATACAATCTTTGCAGTATTTTTTTAGAATCTGAAAGCACTTAATACAAAACCTGGGTAAATATGCTTGTGAAAATATAAGAAAAAAAACCCACACACATAACATATGCATATAATTATCTAGACTAGTCAAACACAATCACAGAATTCCCAACGTACAACATCTACAGTAAAATCATTTATCAAGTTATTCTGTAAGACTTCTGGCCATTACGTACAACAAGTATAAAAAGTTATTTTTAGAACATGCCTAAATGGTCACATGGCACATTAAGCCACTCCCTCCATTGTTCTATTCAATGACTTCCCTTGCTCTGATACCCTCAGATTTCAGGCGGCTTAAAATAGGATTGTATGTATCAATACTTAGTGGAATAACCATGCCTTTTTTCTGTATCTCTCCTGCAAACAAAATAATGCATAATATTTCATCATTACATGTATAGTGACAATCACAAGAAAGTTTTTGCAAATTAAAACTGGTTTGGAAATAAATCTTAGTAGTTGTGTAATGGAAGGAGCTTAGCAATGTTTACAGGACTTTATCAAAATACAAGTTATGACAGATATATCAAAATGACAAATTATTCGTTGTATACTACATGTATTTATAAAACACTTCAAACCTTCAAGAACCATTTTTGTTGCAATGCCTGTTGGAAGTCCTACAGTTTTGGCCATAGCAGAGTATCCATTAACTTCACCATATACCACCAAGCTGATCTTTCTCTTCTCTGTTGATCCATCCAACCACTGTACACCAATATCATGGTTCATCAAGATCATATCTCTCTCACCAGGACCTGACAACAATTTCCATGACAACATATCAACAATATTTCTAATGAATGTAAAACAATGATTCATAAAAAACAGTACCTACGGTTTCTACAGGCACAATCAAGATGTAAATTTAATATATATATTTCCACTATCCTTAATTGTTATAATGTAAATACCTCTGACTTCAAACATAATTTTATCCTGCCTGAAAATACAGTATAACATGTGCAGAGTTACACCGTTTGCAGGGTAAATACTTTCGCTGTTGCTGAGAGCTGTTGCTTTAGAAAAGGTTAAATCAAGTTCAGTCTGGCCTTGGAAAAATTAAAGTTATAAAGAGGTTGGGGTTACTCTACAGCAGTTGCATGTATCATATATTTCAAGTGTGGAAGCTATCACATTAGTTTCTAAACCATTGATAATTCATGATTAATAATTGACAATTATAAGCACAGTAGGGACTAATTTCTATTCATTCTTGTTCAGTCTAACAACATTACCTGTATATTATTAGTTATAAAGATTTTTGACAAGTTATATGTCTAGTGGCTTGGGTTATATATAAAAACAATCATTTATATACGACCATATAACTTGTCAAAATTCTGTATAATGAATTTATAATACAGCAAACTTCCTTTTTAGAGCAAAAAAATGTCATTTCTTCATAAATTGGCAGCAACCATGTATATTAATCTTTTTTAAAAGTCACAATTAGCCAATGAAAAGTAAAGTTACAAAGATGCACTATTATAAAGTGAGTTTTATTAACTTATCTTGGACGTCAGGTAAATGGAAGTCAATTACACAAGCAATAAACAAGGTCTAGTAGGGAAAATATTGCAGAATACTGCATGCCAAAATAAAATGACGACACTTTTAAATCAAATATTTGTCAATCATTATTATCTAAACTTCCATTGTCAGTTCAAATATTGTTTCGTTTAGTTTTGGAAAATGTTTCTTTTATTTTTAAATACAGTAGAACATCTATGTGTCAAGCTTCGATTAGTCAATGTGTCAAAGTAAAATAAACAAAGTTCTACTGTTTCTCTATATATAGACAATATTACGATGCAACAAATCATTTTTGCCTTTCCTTTCCATGATACAAAGAATTGAGAGTAATTTAGTACTTTATGAGAGCCTTACCAAATGAAAGTCTTTTGGAGAGATAGTTAGACAGGGTGTCTATTGGTGTACCTCTTTTATCTATCAGATCATCTCCAAGAAGTCCCATTCTGCAAAAATATATAAACTTTTGATATATGCTACAACAATGTATAACATCCTATAAAATATTTCCCTATTAATCAAACTATAGTATTCATCCTGTTCTAATAGTGGACACTAAACTTCCCCTTTGTTTGTAACATCATTCATAATACAGTATTGCCTTAAAGTCATTTATTACTACACTTAAACACTAGGTTTCATTAAACGAATTTCATTCTAATTGCTATTATTATTTAATTTGTTGAATGTTTGCAGCAATAATCATTTTTCTGTTGTTACTATAACGCTAGTTATGAATACATCTGATTAGACTCTGTTAAATGATCAATTAACATATGGTGATTTGGCAAGCAATAGTTTAAGTAACAAAGAACACTTCCAGATTCAATCCCAGAAAAATGCATAACATAAGAAGCATGAAAGTTAAATGTACAAATATACACACCTGATAATAGCTTCCATTCTTTCATCATCACTTCCTATCTCTTCATACACCAGATCTTTTAAAGAATCTACCAACATATCTGTTGGTTTGCCATATTTCTGACAGAAATATTCCCTCTGAAAAAAAAAAATCAATGAATCTAATTCACATGTAACCAGCACAAACAGGCTATATATATACTGACTGAGGTGAATGCATATGACAAATATAAGAACAATCAATCAAGTCATGAAAGTGTTCTCTAATGCAATAAGATATGACATTTGACCTCAAAGTAAAACCTTGACCTTTAAAGTGTGGCTAAGGGTTTTATGCTGCCTGACTGTTGTGAAGACATGCAAATATCTGACAATTCATTAAATAATGACAAGTTATAAGCAGAACACCACTTGGCCTTTGGCCTCCTTAAAAATGCGGTTGAAGGTCCTGGGTGCAACAAATCGTTTCATTGTGATGAAATATGTTTATTATCCACCCATAATGACAAAGTTAAATGCCAGACAGGATTTGATCTCAAAAGCAACCTTGACCTTGACAGTGCAAACATTGGTCTTGCACCTATCACTTTGTCTACTTATGGAGATGATTTTTACAAATTCATTTCTAATTTCTATGATGCCTGCAGAAGTTATGGTCCAGACACAAGCTCTAACTACACCTAACTTTATCACAAATAAATTAAGTTCAATCTCTGCTGTGACCATGACCTTTGAGCTAAGGACCTGGGTCTTGTGCACAAAACTTATGGTGATCATATGAACCAATTAATTTTGAAATCCCATCATGCATGCCAAAGTCATAGACAAGACACAAAGGAATCAATTTTGTGTACACAAATACAGATACATATTAATACATAAACAAACAGGGTTAACTTTATATACTTCTTTTCCCCACCACCCATTTAATGGTAAAAGCATACTGAAAGTCTATAAAACAATGTACCCAAGTTTTTTCTGGACCATTAGGATGTAAAATGGCCATTTGTTCATCACTTAGAAGTCCAAGCTTCAACAATCCTTTTGCAACATTGGAAAATCCCTGAAATACAAATAAAAAAAAAGAATTATTTACATAGTTAGATTATTAAGAAAAGAAAATACACTTGTTTGTAAATGATTATACACATGTAGATGGTTTGATAATCAACTACACACAGACACAAAATCATGTAAACACAGATAAAATAGTGAATACAGTCATGTTATACCTTCGATAGAATATAGTCATGTAAACACAGAACACTGTCATGCAATACAGTCATGTTAACACAGATAGAATAGTCAATACAGTCATGTAATACCTTCGATAGAATATAGTCATGTAAACACAGATAAAACACAGTCATGTAAACACAGACAGAATACAGTTATGTAATACAGTCATGTAAACACAGATAGAACACTGTCATGTACTACAGTCATGCAAACACAGATAGAATAGTCAATACAGTCACGTAATACCATAAACAGAATATAGTCATGTAAACACAGATAAAACACAGTCATGTAGACACAGATAGAATACAGTCATGTAAACACAGATAGAATACAGTCATGTAAACACAGATAGAACTCAGTCATGTAAACACAGATAGAATACAGTCATGTAAACACAGAATATATACATGTAAACACAGATAGAATACAGTCATGTAAACACAGATAGAACTCTGTCATGTAAACACAGATAGAATACAGTCATGTAAACACAGAATATATACATGTAAACACAGATAGAATACATTCATGCAAACACAGACAGCAATAATCATATACACACAGATAGAAGATAATCAAGTTCACACAATCATACAGACAAAGCAGTAAAACACATTCACTGACATGTACAGGGTTGTTTTTTGTAACATAACAACTTTCCATACTTTTTCAAAGTTATAAAAGCAAAGAAAGGTGTTAACTGAACAAACTTACCTTGTATCTGATTGTCCCCCTTATACATGTATGAGCATTATCTATACCATACTCAGTTGTGTATTTTGTTGAGTCTCTATTTGGGAATCCTTCAAGGTTAAAGCCTGGCATGAAGGTCAAATCTTGAACAGCTTCTAATAGTTTACCGTTTCCTTCAATCTCTACAACCTGTTGTCAACAAAAATAAATGGACAAACAAAATTATACCAGTTTGATTAAATTTGAATTTGAACTTTTTGAAAATTTATGCCCATGAAAAGAAGATTTGGATAATATTTTTTCCAGAAGTATTACAAAATAACAGTATATCATGTATCAAGATTAACTGTGCCAGTAGATGATAAGATCAGTCTGTTTATAAGTACTTTCCTCTTATCAAAAACAATTAGTTTCTAAATACAGGTAATGTTGTACATGATTTAAACCACCATTATATGCTTCAATAATGAATTCTATCTCAGGTCTTTGATATTTGCAAAATAATTTAATAAAATGTCTATAGATACATTTTCTAAATGAAACATAGGCATATCAAAGTATAAGTCTGATTAATCAATCGAGTCATATGCAAGTCATCCAGTTAGCCCGATAGGTAGAGTGTTGGACAGTAAATCAGAAAACCCGACTTCTATTCCCTGATTGCTCATTAAATCCTTTCTTCGGTCATTCGCACTTTACTTAAGCTATGGCATGTACAGAAGTTATAGTGAAGGCAACTAGTACAGGTAAACTGTTTTAATGACAGCCTGCCCAGGAACAATGTGGTGACTAACTGTGCTAAGATAAATTCAATGTGGCTTAATCTGTGATCTGGAATGAAAACTGCCAACACAACCACCACCATCACGTCATATGCAAACTTTCTTATGATCAAATATCATCACTTTAGTGCAGATTTCTACATACAGGACTACTAATTTCACATGATTTCTAAATCAGCAGTGAAAGACAAATGATTTTTAGCCTCTATGTCCTAGATTAATCATCATGAAGAAATTTCGTTTTGTCCGAGGATCAACCCAACAACCCCTGTATTACAAATCTGATCTATTGAGCTCTATTGAGCTAAACAATTGGACACCATACATACAGGGCCTGATCAAATAAACACAATTCATTAAATTTTTTAAATACCTTGCCATTCTTCAGGAACTTAGCCCCACTCAAACAGTTCATCAAAACTCCTCTTGGAAACCAACTGTTAATGTAAAAAAATCCATGTTGTTTTCTGAACTAAATGTAACTTTTTACTAATTATACTTTTTCACTTACATGAGTTATGCTATGAAAGGAGTTTTACATTGTGCTACATCATTTATTTGCTTAGCTCCAGTAATAATATAGGTATAAAACATCTGATATCTTCACTTTTAATGAAATACAGTAAACTCCGCTTATAACGAACTCAATGGGACATTCAAAACCTGTTCCTTATATCCGGAGTTCCTTGTAAGCATATAGCGAATAAGTTCCTTGTATCAGGAGTTTTTATAGCGAACAGATTTACAAATAACTAACTGATTGTTTACCATTGTCCGCCATTTTGAAGAGCATTTGATAAAGAAATAAAAATATTATTCATTTATTTATATTTTAGACACAATACACGAGGGCGTACTTTTTGGAATTTGAAAATCATTGCTATTTCAGTTTTAGTTTTACTCCCTATCTCAATTTCACATAAAATATAATATTTTGTTTCTATTTTTTTTTTTCGTTTTCTTTCCATGATTGAGAATAAACAAGATTTTCGATTTTTCCTTCCTTTTATATTGAATATCTTCTATTATAATTTAAGGGTGACTTTAACTAATGTAAGATATAGATTTCTTTTCATTTAAATCAAGCGTACTTTGCAGTTTGCAATGGATCATGCTTGCAAGCATGCATGATTATGTTGAAAACCGATTATAAATTATTATAATTATTTTACTCGAGCAAAACTATTGAAGAAAATAAATAAATAACCGTTTTATCTTGGTAAAAAGAGCTCATGCTAAAAATATCCTAAATAGAAAACTATACAAATTCATTTGAATAATTTGAATAGATGTATTGAAGTACATACAACGATAAACAGTACATTCGCCCGAGATTTAATCCGTGCGAATGAAAACGAAAGTTGAAAATGCGGGATCTATTTACGAATAGGCAATATTTTGGAGTTCGTTATAAAAGTGTAATTTTCTGTACTATTAACTAAATTGGGACTAAGAAATGAGTTTCTTATAAGCGATAATTCCTTATAACCGTGTTCGCTATAACCATATATTTTTATATTAAATAAAGAAGGGCAAAATTCGGGCCAAAATATATTTTCCCTATATCCGGAAGTTCGCTATAACCGTGTTCGCTATAAGTGAAGTTTACTGTATATTGTTCCACATCATGTCTAAATAGTTTAGGAAACACCTTTACATCCAGGTGTAAAACTTGTAATTATGAGATTTCTGGGCGTAATGCTCAAGTGTTAAACACCTTAGTTTGTGGAACTTAAAGTGTGTACATGATCAATATGAGACGCACCATGACAAAACCAAAATAGTGCGTTTGCGACCAGCATGGATCGAGACCAGTCTGTGCATCTACGCAGTCTGATCAGATCCATGCTGTTCCCTTAAAACCTTATTACAAGTAGAGAAACTGATAGAGAACAGCATGTATCCTGATCAGACTGCGCGGTTGCGTAGGTTGGTCTGAATCCATGCTGGTTGCAAACACACTATGTTGGTTTTGTCGTGACACGACTCATATACCTAAACTTGTATCTCAGTGGAGTAGATGAATCTTCGGGTGACGGCAAACCACCGCAATATGACACGTAAGATGTGATCTATAAAGAGACAGAAAATTTCAATACAAAGTCAAGGACAATTAAATCTATGTATCATTACCATCATTACTAATTATTCACAATAAATTTGTGTTTGTTTTGGATAGTAAGATGATTTGTTATATTATCTAAGAACACAAGAGTCGTCCTCACATAAAATAAATGTAACTGAATCTTATGAAATATTTCCAAGGAACATAAAAGCTAGGTGGCATTTTATCAAGAATCTATACTTTTTTAACTACATTAATACTAATAATTTAACACATGTTACAAAATTTATTGCCACGCAACAAGGCTATGAATTAATCAAAGATTGAATGTTCAATAATCATAGACCCAGTGAAATACATGTATGTCAACATTTCTTTACTTATTACATAACAATAAGGTGTATAATTTAAATTAATGTATATCATTACAATGAGGTGGATAATTTAATATACTACATTACAATAAGGTGTATAATTTAATACAGTTGACTCTCGGTAACTGAATTTCAAGGGACTGAGCACTTTACTTCCAGAGTAAAAGACTTTGAGTAACGTGGATCTGCTGCCATTACGTTTATATTTGTACATGTATATACATGTGCCTGATTGAATGTGCAAAGCAGTAGGTTTTAAGTTGTATTAAGCACTTATGACAATTCATTACTATAGAAATGCAATAATACATTTATATCTAATACGTTGGAGAATGTGAATTAATCATAGGACGAAAACGAAAGTAAAATATCGTGAACCAGAAGTACATATTAATTTAGTTATCTAACTGTTTAAACCAATAAAGTCCTTATACCAATTAAAGTCACTTTTATAACATTACTTATATATGATGGCTGGCAATAAAAAGTACTATGAAAAGTGTGAACCAGAAAGACAACATCTCACCTTGATATCGCCGACCTTTGATCAGTCGGCTGTTTTCATACCTTAACCCATTACTTCATATACACGCCTTTTAACGCCTTTTTCACCCCCCCCCCCTTTTTGTTGTCTCAAATGGTGAAAAAATGCCTTATTTAGGCCCCCAACACTTGTTTTCGTTTGAGAAATGTTGTTAAAAAAAGTGACCACTTTTTCGGCGCGGCCCCCCAACTAAAAGATACATCAGGGGGTTGCCAGAAGGGGGATGTGCCCCCTTCTGTTTGGGGGGTTTGAAGGGGAGCGGAGTCCCCCTCATCGCCAAGAAAATTTTGGACTTGTGAGAGGCTATAAATGACCTCAGATTGATCATAAGGTAACGTGTAACCAACGCTGAAAAGCATTTGACTCTATCTCAATCCATTGAGAAGTTGCAGCACTTTGAAATCAATTATGATGGAAAAAATCAACGCAAAATAGTGATTTTTGGCAATTTTGAGATGTCCCCTCCTTGCCATGGTAACAGAAAATTTAAGCCTGAGCATGTTGTTGCAAGGGCAATGGTCCAGTCAGCATTTGTGCCAAGTTTGATTAGTGTTGAAGCAGTTTTTATAGTATTATAGCAATTTGAACTTGTAACGGGAGACTTTTCAATGAAAACAGCCATTTTTCACAAAATGCTCATGAAGTAATGGGTTAATGAAAAAAATAAAAAAATCTACAAAACAACAATTTTTCTTCAAATTTATATGACAGGCCATGTTTAAACATGGAAAAACGCGATTTAGGGTAATTTCAAGTATTTTCATCATTTTCTGTTAACCCATTACTTCATATACACGCCTTTTAACGCCTTTTTCACCCCCCCCCCTATTTGTTGTCTCAAATGGTGAAAAAATGCCTTATTTAGGCCCCCAACACTTGTTTTCATTTGAGAAATGTTGTTAAAAAAAGTGACCACTTTTTCGGCGCGGTCCCCCAACTAAAAGATACATCAGGGGGTTGCCAGAAGGGGGATGTGCCCCCTTCTGTTTGGGGGGTTTGAAGGGGAGCGGAGTCCCCTCATCGCCAAGAAAATTTTGGACTTGTGAGAGGCTATAAATGACCTCAGATTGATCATAAGGTAACGTGTAACCAACGCTGAAAAGCATTTGACTCTATCTCAATCCATTGAGAAGTTGCAGCACTTTGAAATCAATTATGATGGAAAAAATCAACGCAAAATAGTGATTTTTGGCAATTTTGAGATGTCCCTCGTTGCCATGGTAACAGAAAATTTAAGCCTGAGCATGTTGTTGCAAGGGCAATGGTCCAGTCAACATTTGTGCCAAGTTTGATTAGTGTTGAAGCAGTTTTTATAGTATTATAGCAATTTGAACTTGTAACGGGAGACTCTTCAATGAAAACAGCCATTTTTCACAAAATGCTCATGAAGTAATGGGTTAATGAAAAAAATCAAAACATCTACAAAACAACAATTTTTCTTCAAATTTATATGACAGGCCATGTTTAAACATGGAAAAACGCGATTACGGGTAATTTCAAGTATTTTCATCATTTTCTGTTAACCCATTACTTCATATACACGCCTTTTAACGCCTTTTTCACCCCCCCCCCCCTTTTTGCTGTCTCAAATGGTGAAAAAATGCCTTATTTAGGCCCCCAACACTTGTTTTTGCTTGAGAAATGTTGTTAAAAAAAGTGACCACTTTTTCGGCGCGGCCCCCCAACTAAAAGATACATCAGGGGGTTGCCAGAAGGGGGATGTGCCCCCTTCTGTTTGGGGGGTTTGAAGGGGGCGGAGTCCCCCTCATCGCCAAGAAAATTTTGGACTTGTGAGAGGCTATAAATGACCCCAGAATGATCATAAGGTAACGTGTAACCAACGCTGAAAAGCATTTGACTCTATCTCAATCCATTGAGAAGTTGCAGCACTTTGAAATCAATTATGATGGAAAAAATCAACGCAAAATAGTGATTTTTGGCAATTTTGAGATGTCCCCTCCTTGCCATGGTAACAGAAAATTTAAGCCTGAGCATGTTGTTGCAAGGGCAATGGTCCAGTCAGCATTTGTGCCAAGTTTGATTAGTGTTGAAGCAGTTTTTATAGTATTATAGCAATTTGAACTTGTAACGGGAGACTTTTCAATGAAAACAGCCATTTTTCACAAAATGCTCATGAAGTAATGGGTTAATGAAAAAAATAAAAAAATCTAGAAAACAACAATTTTTCTTCAAATTTATATGACAGGCCATGTTTAAACATGGAAAAACGCGATTTAGGGTAATTCAAGTATTTTCATCATTTTCTGTTAACCCATTACTTCATATACACGCCTTTTAACGCCTTTTTCACCCCCCCCCTTTTTGTTGTCTCAAATGGTGAAAAAATGCCTTATTTAGGCCCCCAACACTTGTTTTCGTTTGAGAAATGTTGTTAAAAAAAGTGACCACTTTTTCGGCGCGGCCCCCCAACTAAAAGATACATCAGGGGGTTGCCAGAAGGGGGATGTGCCCCCTTCTGTTTGGGGGGTTTGAAGGGGAGCGGAGTCCCCCTCATCGCCAAGAAAATTTTGGACTTGTGAGAGGCTATAAATGACCTCAGATTGATCATAAGGTAACGTGTAACCAACGCTGAAAAGCATTTGACTCTATCTCAATCCATTGAGAAGTTGCAGCACTTTGAAATCAATTATGATGGAAAAAATCAACGCAAAATAGTGATTTTTGGCAATTTTGAGATGTCCCCTCCTTGCCATGGTAACAGAAAATTTAAGCCTGAGCATGTTGTTGCAAGGGCAATGGTCCAGTCAGCATTTGTGCCAAGTTTGATTAGTGTTGAAGCAGTTTTTATAGTATTATAGCAATTTGAACTTGTAACGGGAGACTTTTCAATGAAAACAGCCATTTTTCACAAAATGCTCATGAAGTAATGGGTTAACTAAATGAGATGAAAATATGTTGGACTTTAATTGACGGGACCAAAAACTCCTTTCGACTAAACAGGAGTCTCAGTAAGTCATACTTTGACCTAAGCAGAGTTGAAGAACAAAGATAAAGAAGGAAATTTGACGGGACTTAAGAAATTCTTCAACCAACGCTGAATTTTGAGTAAGGTGATTTTGAGAGTCAACTGTATAATACATTACAATTAGGTGTATATTTGAATATATTAAATTACAATAAGGTGTACAATTTAATACCTACCCTTCCCCCAGCATGCTTCACTTCATCAAAACATTCCATTGCCAGCATATGATCAATACCAGGATCAACACCCACCTCATTCACTATTGTCACATTGGCATCTACAGCTCTGTGTTATATAACATAACAGTACATGTAAACTTGAAAATAGCACAGATCCAGATAAGCTGCGTATTTTGATTTGTGTAAATACGCAAATAAATTGTCCCATTACTCAAATATATGAAAATCTCAGCAAACAACAACTTAATTGTTTAAATAAATTACTCAATTCATTATTATCGAACTTACACCTACGCAAACAGGCCAAACGGATTTGTCATTATTTTGAAAACATTATTTAGCAAAATGAGCAGCATGACTTGTTTCAACATTTTCTTTAATTTCTATGTCTTCATAAAAATAATCATTTCGAATTTTATTGCAATCTGTGTCAAGTAAAACGACAATACAGCATTATCCTGATCAACCTTCTGATCATTGACGTTAATGTCAAATATTAAAAACATCATACTTGTATACAATAAAAACCTGGTGCATGTTCCTTCTTAAAATACTCTGAAATTTTTGGGGCCCAAAAAAATCACCTGAGTAAGGACTTTTTTAAATTCACCCTGTATTTCTAACAGATTTAGTAATAATAAACTAGTATACAACATTTCTTACGCTTTGTGTAACTCCTTCATGGCAGGTGTAACATAACTTGCGGTGACCATATTTTTACGATGTTTTATACATGACTTGGCAACTTCTGGGTGCATTGTGTAAGGTAATAAACTCACTACGACATCATATTCTGGTACAAGTTTATCAACTTCCTCCGGATGCCGTGTCACATCAAACATCTGACATTCAACATTTGAACATTTAGATTCTATTCTTTCTAGCTCTTCTTTCAACTGAGAAACTGTAAAAACAATTCACAAGAAGGCATGCTGATAATTTGATCCCAAATACTGCGACTAAATATAATTATCAGTACAACAAATAATTATTTTATTTCATTGCTTGAGAGTCTTGTGGAATTCAAAATGTTTTGCAGTTGCTATAAATTTAAAGAACCAACAAATGCACAATGGGCTTGCATCATTTGTAGATGGTGACAAAAAATGATATCCATATCTTCCAACTTCAAATATTCTCTCAAATCCTGAAAATCTGGAAAACCAATTTTTTTATTTCAATTCCTAGTTAAAGCAATCTATTGCAATTTCAGGATATAATATCAAAGTTGAATAGTAAACAGTACTTGCTAGTCTGAGTGTTTACAGGTATCAAAGTTCTGTAACATCACTGCCAGCACTCACATAATACACTGATAGACATGCTTATGTTTTATATCTATCAACAGTCACCTGGATATCACTGTCCCTACTCAAACTTTACTAAAACTTTATATGATTTATACCTACCAACAGGGATATCACTGTCCCTTCTCAAACTTTATATGATTTATACCTACCAACAGGGATATCACTGTCCCTTCTCAAACTTTATATGATTTATACCTACCAACAAGGATATAATTGTCCCTTCTCAAACTTTATATGATTTATACCTACCAACAAGGATATAACTGTCCCTACTCAAACTTTATATGATTTATACCTACCAACAAGGATATCACTGTCCCTACTCAAACTTTATATGATTTATACCTACCAACAAGGATATAACTGTCCCTTCTCAAACTTAATATGATTTATACCTACCAACAAGGATATAACTGCCCCTACTAAAACTTTATATGATTTAAACCTACCAACAAGGATATAACTGTCCTTTATATGATTTATACCTACCAACAAGGATATAACTGTCCCAACTCAAACTTTATATGATTTATACCTACCAACAAGGATATCACTGTCCCTACTCAAACTTTATATGATTTAAACCTACCAACAAGGATATAACTGTCCCTTCTCAAACTTTATATCATTTAAACCTACCAACAAGGATATAACTGTCCCTACTCAAACTTTATATGATTTAAACCTACCAACAAGGATATAACAGCCCCTACTAAAACTTTATATGATTTAAACCTACCAACAAGGATATAACTGTCCCTACTAAAACTTTATATGATTTATACGTACCAACAAGGATATAACTGTCCCTTCTCAAACTTTATATGATTTATACCTACCAACAAGGATATCACTGTCCCTACTCAAACTTTATATGATTTATACGTACCAACAAGGATATAACTGTCCCTTCTCAAACTTTATATGATTTATACCTACCAACAAGGATATCACTCCTACTCAAACTTTATATGATTTATACCTACCAACAAGGATATAACTGTCCCTTCTCAAACTTTATATGATTTAAACCTACCAACAAGGATATAACTGCCCCTACTAAAACTTTATATGATTTAAACCTACCAACAAGGATATAACTGTCCCTACTAAAACTTTATATGTTTTATACCTACCAACAAGGATATAACTGTCCCTACTCAAACTTTATATGATTTAAACCTACCAACAAGGATATAACTGCCCCTACTAAAACTTTATATGATTTAAACCTACCAACAAGGATATAACTGTCCCTACTCAAACTTTATATGATTTATACCTACCAACAAGGATATAACTGCCCCTACTCAAACTTTATATGATTTAAACCTACCAACAAGGATATAACTGCCCCTACTCAAACTTTATATGATTTATGCCTACCAACAGGGATATAACTGTCCCTACTCAAACTTTATATGATTTAAACCTACCAACAAGGATATAACTGCCCCTACTAAAACTTTATATGGTTTTAAACCTACCAACAAGGATATAACTGTCCCTTCTCAAACTTTATATGATTTAAACCTACCTACAAGGATATAACTGCCCCTACTAAAACTTTATATGATTTAAACCTACCAACAAGGATATAACTGTCCCTACTCAAACTTTATATGATTTAAACCTACCAACAAGGATATAACTGCCCCGACTCAAACTTTATATGATTTAAACCTACCAACAAGGATATAACTGTCCCTACTAAAACTTTATATGATTTAAACCTACCAACAAGGATATAACTGTCCCTACTAAAACTTTATATGATTTATACCTACCAACAAGGACATCACTGTCCCTACTCAAACTTTATATGATTTAAACATACCAACAAGGATATAACTGTCCCTACTAAAAATTTATATGATTTATACCTACCAACAAGGATATCACTGTCCCTTCTCAAACTTTATATGATTTAAACATACAAACAAGGATATAACTGTCCCTACTAAAAATTTATATGATTTATACCTACCAACAAGGATATCACTGTCCCGTCTCAAACTTTATATGATTTAAACCTACCAACAAGGATATAACTGTCCCTACTAAAACTTTATATGATTTATACCTACCAACAAGGATATCACTGCCCCTACTAAAACTTTATATGATTTATACCTACCAACAGGGATTTAACTGTCCCTTCTCAAACTTTATATGATTTAAACCTACCAACAAGGATATAACTGTCTCTACTCAAACTTTATATGATTTATACCTACCAACAGGGATATCACTGTTCCTACTCAAACTTTATATGATTTATACCTACCAACAAGGATATAACTGTCCTTTCTCAAACTTTATATGATTTATACCTACCAACAGGGATATCATTGTCCCTACTCAAACTTTATATGATTTATACCTACCAACAAGGATATAACTGTCCCTTCTCAAACTTTATATGATTTATACCTACCAACAGGGATATCACTGTCCCTACTCAAACTTTATATGATTTAAACCTACCAACAAGGATATAACTGTCCCTACTAAAACTTTATATGATTTATACCTACCAACAAGGATATCACTGTCCCTACTCAAACTTTATATGATTTATACCTACCAACAAGGATATAACTGTCCCTTCTCAAATTTTGTATGATTTATACCTACCAACAAGGATATCACTGTCCCTTCTCAAACTTTATATGATTTATACCTACCAACAGGGATATAACTGTCCCTACTATTACTTTATATGATTTATACATACCAACAGTCACTTGGATATTACTGTCCCTACTCAGGTACTCTACAGCAGGTCCAGCAACATATCCTGCTCCAAGTACAAGGACCTTCTTCTGTCCTGGTACAACTTCCATTAACTTAGATGACCTATATAAAATAAAGTATAAATATCCAAGTTTCTGTTATTTTAAACCATTGCTTTATACAATGTTCATTTGTAGTTTTCATACATTTTTAAATGAATCTGTCTGGTATGTTCTTTTGTCATGCTAGACAAGTTTGTTCTGAAATTTTCATTTCATTTTGATTTGAATATTTCCATATGCATACAAAGATGTAGATGAAGTATTTCAATGTGTAACAACTAAACTAACAAGACATGCCCACAGGCAGAATGTTCAGCCCGCTCTTCTAAATTCAAACCTGAACCTATAAGCTTTAGATCAAGGAGAACAATGTATACATAGGTGAGATGTGTGCAACACATCCTCTTTATACCACAGGCAAAATCTTTAGAAAATTGTTATGTGTCTAATCATTATCAATTCTTCCTTTTCTTGTTTAAGACAAAATAAATATACTAAGGTAAATAGGAATGCATAAAAAATCAAGCTTGATACTGTGGAACAAATAAAGATGTTTATATCATAATGCCATTTTTTATCTTATACTGAATTGAAAGACCCTGGAGAAGACAGGGACATATTTCCTGCTACAAGAACTTTGTGTAATTTCAATATCTCTTGTGTTTTGAACATCCTCTTTTTCAGAGTATCATTTTCTGACTAAAGATTTCACCACTTTTAGACATTAAGTTTCAAATTTTACATTCCTATTTCATTTCACTTTCCTCCCAATTACTCTTCAGAAGTCTTACTTAATGCTGAGTAATAACTCGTCATTGTTTATCATTTGAGCCGCGTCATGACAAAACCAACATAATGGGTTTGCAACCAGCATGGATTCAGACCAGCCTGCGCATCCGCGCAGTCTGATCAGGATCCATGCTGTTAGCTTACAATGTGCAGTCTGATCAGGATCCATGCTGTTTATTACAAACTCTATAACAAGCAGTGAAACCGATAGCAAACAACATGGATCCTGATTAGACTGCACAGATGCGCAGGCTGGTCTGGATCCATGCTGGTCCCAAACGCATTATGTTGGTTTTGTCGTGACGCAGCTCATTTATCTTTTCATCTATGTGATCATATAAAACCTGTCAATCTGTATCATTTTAATGATCATTTAAAACCTGTCAATCTGTATTATTTTAGTGATCATTTAAAACCTGTCAATCTGTATTGTTTTAGTGATCATTTAAACCTGTCAATCTGTATTATTTTAGTGATCATATAAAACCTGTCAATCTGTATTATTTTAGTGATCATTTAAAACCTGTCAATCTGTATTATTTTATGAACATATTAAACCTGTCAATCTGTATTATTTTAGTGATCATTTAAAACCTGTCAATCTTTATTATTTTAGTGATCATATAAAACCTGTCAATCTGTATTATTTTAGTGATCATTTAAAACCCGTCAATCTGTATTATTTTAGTGATCATATAAAACCTGTCAATCTGTATTATTTTAGTGATCATTAAAACCTGTCAATCTGTATTATTTTATGAACATATTAAACCTGTCAATCTGTATTATTTTAGTGATCATTTAAAACCTGTCAATCTGTATTATTTTAGTGATCATATAAAACCTGTCAATCTGTATTATTTTAGTGATCATTTAAAACCTGTCAATCTGTATTATTTTAGTGATCATATAAAACCTGTCAATCTGTATTATTTTAGTGATCATTTAAAACCTGTCAATCTGTATTATTTTATGGACATATTAAACCTGTCAATCTGTATTATTTTAGTGATCATTTAAAACCTGTCAATCTGTATTATTTTATGAACATATTAAACCTGTCAATCTGTATTATTTTAGTGATCATATAAAACCTGTCAATCTGTATTATTTTAAAGGTTACTCACATGCTCCTTTTCCTCAAATCATCAATATACTCAAAACTGGGTGTCAACTTTCCATTTGATGCAATGACAGCCTTTAACAGAAAAACAACCAATCAACCACAAAGATATGACCTAAATGTGTTGAAATCAGCATAAAATCCAGACAGACGGACAGACAAAGGATATCAGCTTAAACTACTTTACACAAAAAAAGCTCAGAAATACAGGCTGAAGACACTATTGAAAACATAATTTTAAGAATGAATTTACAATTTTTGTATACATACATTTTTGACAGTAGGATTGGCAGAATAGTCTTCAAAGGATCCTTTAGCATCTGACTTTAGCTGTAAGTATTTTAATGACATTGATGTAAAACATGCTGAATAGCATCTTTGGTTCAGATGATATGTCAACAATAAAAAAATTAGAAACATAATATGAATACTATGCATATATTCTCAAACTCTGCAAAATGTATTATTAAAACAAAGAAGTTTTACAAATATTTCAAAGTAAACTGATACTGCATCTCTAACATGTGGTACATATTTACTTGTGTGTATATGAAAATATGGGTACCAATATTAATTAAATCTAAATCTTAAACCAATATCATAAAATTCATATCTGTATCTGAAATCGTGCATTTGTAAAAACATTACTGACTGCTTTTGCTAAGGGAAAACAATAGTTACTATAGAAGTCACTGGTTGCTATAAAAATCAGTGAATTCTTTGGAAGTCACTTACTGCTGTGAAATTCAATGGTAGATTCATTTAATTTGTTAAAAAAAGGAAATGTTTGCTATGGAAGTCGCTGGTTGATATGTAAAAAGTCAATGTTTGCCATGTAAGTCACTGGTTGCTATGGAAATTTACAGTTTAGTATGAAAAGTCAATGGCTGCTATTGAAATCAATAATTCTTACAGAAAGTCACTGGTTGCTATGGAAGTTTATGGTTACTATGGAAATCCTGTGGTTGTTATGGAAGTCAATGGTTTATATGGAAAGTCAATGGTAACTTTGTCAGTCATTGGTTGCTATGGTAAAGCACTGGTTGCTATGGAAGTCTATGGTTGATAAAGAAAGTCACTGGTTGTGATGGAAACCCATGGTTGCTATGGAAAGCCTTCATAACAACTTTCATAAACACCTTGCTGAAAGTAAACAAACAATACATCAGCAAATTAAAGATACTCACAATCTCTGGGATGTATGGCAGCAACAGACTCCCGAAATATTCTGTAGCCTCTCTAGGCATCTGCGCCGGCATATTGTCTATAGAACAAATCAACACACCATCTCCTTTAAAGCTGAAAACAAATAAACAAGTGTTTCAATGTCCTCATTATAACCTGTGTAACACTGTAATGAATTGGTAGAAGTTAGTTTATAATTGTTTAATTACAATCACTTTGACAATATACAACATAACAAGAATGTCAAATGATGCATCAATGATGTTCTGATAAAATGCTTTTATTTTGGAACACATACAAACATAACATACAAACTTTACACTTTATACTACTAGTAACATAAACTCACATATTTTATGGGGGGTTTTTTTTGTTGTTATTTTTCTTTAATTGTACATTAATTGATTTACTAAACTAAGTTTATCAAAAAATGTAAAACATAAGAATAATTTATTAACATATATATAAACACCTGTGATACATTCATTATGTCTGTAAGTTTGGAAATATTAAAATTATGAAAAGATCAACCAACCAGTCCTACAAACCTTTAACACAAGGAAAGTGACTGTCTGTGTTTACCTTTGTACCTTTGTTAAAAGATTTACAGTTTATTTTTGCGCATTTTCATGGCAACCAGATTTATGAAACAAAGTCAATATCATAAATTTCTGATAGAAATCCTAATGTATGTTTTCAAAATTGTTTTTTTAATATTGATTGTTATATACACATGCCTCCAAATGAGCCAAAATATTTCATGACAATCAATATTGCGAAAAATGTACAAAGATATTATGAACAAAAACAAAAAAAACAAATCTTTAAAATATTGAGGAGAAAAAATCTTCCCACAGATTTTTCACTATCAAGAAAAAATTTCATGCATGTTCTGAAAAATAACATACAAAATTATTCATGAAAACTAAACAAAATATAATCAATATGATCAATAAAATTCCAAAACAAAAATATTGCAAAAGTATTGTTCAAGTGTCAAGTCAATTTAAAAATACACAGTCAAATATGTTACTTGCTGATTATGAAAGAGTGCATGGTGATTTTCTACCTACGAATGTTAGACACAATGAATATATATTATAAAATCAGCATTGACTGTAAAACTAGGATTGCTTTTGACAAAGTATGCAAGCACTGGTTTAGTTTTGCAAATGTCATATATACAGGCATTAATTTTAACATAAAAGCAGACATTGCTTTTGATATATTAAGTAGGCATTGTATTGGACATATTTCAGTTGGCATTGTATCTGATATATCAGTAGGCATTGTATCTGATATATTCGTAGGCATTGTATCTGATATATCAGTAGGCGCTGTATCAGATAAATTAGCAAGCATTATATTTTATTTATCAGCAGGCATTGTATCTGACATATCAGTAAGCATTGGACCTGATTTATCAGCAGGCACTGTATCCAACATATCAGCAGGCATTATATCTTATATATCAGAAGACATTTTTTTCTGATATATCAGCAGGCATCATATCTGATATATCAGCAGGCATTGTATCTGATATATCAGCAGGCATTATATCTGATTTTTCAGCAGGCATTGTATCCAACATATCAGCAGGCATTGTATCTGATATATCAACAGGCATTGTATCCAACATATCAGCAGACATTTGTCTGATGTATCAGCAGGCAAAGTATCTGACATATCAGCAGGCATCTTATCTGATATATCAGCAGATATTTTTCTGATAAATATCAGGCATTGTATATGATATATCAACAGGCATCATATCTGATATATCAGCAGATATTTTTCTGATAAATCAGCAGGCATTGTATCTGACATATCAGCAGACATCCTATCTGATATATCAGCAGATATTTTTCTGATAAATCAGCAGGCATTATATCTTATATATCAGCAGACATTTTTCTGATATATCAGCAGGCATTGTATCCAACATATCAGCAGGCATCATATCTGATATATCAGCAGATATTATTCTGATAAATATCAGGCATTGTATATGATATATCAACAGGCATCATATCTGATATATCAGGAACCATGTATCTGATATATCAGTAAGCACTATAAGGCATTTTTGATATATCAGCATGCATTGTATCTGATATATCATCAGGCATTTATTTGAAATATCAGTGGATATTTATCTGATATATCAGCAGGGTAATATATCTGATATATTAACATGCATTGTATCTGATATATTAGCAGGAATTGTATCTGACATATCAGCAGGCATTGTATCTAAGACTTCAGCAGGCAGCAGGCAATGTTTCTGATATATCAGCAGGTACTGTATATTGAAATTTCAGCAGGCACTTTATCAGACACTTAAGCAGACAGCAGGTACTATATTGGACATATTAGCAGACATTGTAGCAAAGATATCAGCAGAAAACTGACAGCATTGTATCTGATATATCAGCAAGCATTGTATATGATATATCAGCAGTCCTCATATCTGATATTTCAGCAGTCATCATATCTGATATATCAGCAGGCATTGTATCTGACATACCAGCAGGCAATGTATCTGATATATCAGCAGGCAATGTATCTGATATATCAGCAGGCAATGCATCTGATATATCAGCAAGCATTGTAGCTGACATATCAGCAGGCATTATATCTGATATTTCAGCAGTCATCATATCTTATATATCAGCAGGCATTGTATCTGACATATCAGCAGGCAATGTATCTGATATATCAGCAGGCAATGTATCTGATATATCAGTAGGCATTGTATCTGATATATCAGCAGGCATTGTATCTGATATATCAGCAGGCATAGTATCTGATATATTAGTAGGCATTGTATTTGATATATTAGTAGGCATTGTATTTGATATATAAATAGGCAATGTATCTGATATATCAGCAGGCAATGTCTCTGACATTTCAGATGGCATTGTATTGGACACAGATACAGGCATTGTATTGGACATAAAAGCAGGCATTGTATTGGACATAAACACTGGCATTGTGAAGGACATAAAAGCAGGCATTGTGAAGGATATACATGTAAAAGCAGGCATTGCTGTTAAAGTAATAAGAAGGTTTGGTATTTGATGCATATAAAACATTTTTATAAAGGTCCATTTTCAGACTGGGGATCAAATCCTACCACCATTTTGATATAAAGCAGACAAACTACCTACTAGCCAAAGCTATAGGTGTATCTAACTAGGCAGAACATACATAAATGTTCACTGAACAATACAAAATCTGCATTATGTATACAGAATAAATATCAGTGAAAAACAGATATATTAATAAATACTATCAATTGTGCTTGTTAAATATTCAAACTTACCTGCTGTACAATAAGTAAGAAATACAATAAATTATTTTGCATAGCAATAAAAGATAAATTTTATGCAGAAAATTGAATAATCACATGAACATCTGTTTATTAAGAGGTGTTGGGGGAAGGATATAACCATTATACCTAGAGCTGAAGCAGAAAGCTAAATACATATCCATTTATTAGGTTGGAATACCTTAAACAAAGCAATTAATTACCTTAAATAAAGCAGTTCTGAAATGTTCTGTAAATAAAACTGCTACATAAATGACAAATAATCACACGAAGATGTTGTTTTATACTCCCAAGTATATTATAATTTTATGATAATTTTCATCTGAGTACATGTATGTTAAAGATATGTTTTTTTATTGTAAGTTACAAGGTTGTTAAGCCTAATCAGGCAGTGTGTTTCAAACCAGTTAATTAACATCGGGAATTTTTACTGTTTTAATGGTGTGAGAGTACTTTAACTGCTCATTTGTGCAGGACCAGACAGACAGTAATTCCTTTTATTAAAATGTGAAAGACAAATTTATCAAGGTTTTATACAAGTTTTTAATGGCACTGATTAATCATATCATCAAAATTTCCATATGAAGAAAGGATATTTTAATTAATATGTACACAACAGTTTTGTCTTCCCCTTTACATTCCTATGTAAACATGTTGTGATCAATTCTGGAAAATACTGCCATAAATTGCAAGTCAAATAAGTCAATTTGTTACTGTATTTTTGTTTTTTTCAATTTGCAAGTCACACAATAAAAATTGTTCACAGTTTTTTGCGATTTTTTTTTTCAAATAAGTGTACAATCTACTTTAATAAAAGAAATTGCATATGTTGCATTCACAGCAAATTTAATTAATCTTAACTGTTCAAAATATTTCATGCTAACAAATCTAACAACCATCACTGTATCCATGCCACCTTATTATGAGATAATATGGACAAGAATGCTGGTGGTATAACATCACTCAATTCTATGTCAAGGGCACTTACTCTGGTGTTATGTCCAACATTTGAAACAAATAAATGAAGATAACTATATTTTTGTTATTTACTTTAGTAATCAATGTTTTACAGGAACAGATGCTCAAATAAACATTAAATAAGGGCAAAAAAGAGGGCATGAAAACAATTTTTACCAGAATGTTTAATACATGCAATAACACATATTGTTAGTTGTGGTTATTTTCTGATTGACATCACAATTATTTCATATTAGCTAACTTTTACCGTACTTAATCTCTTTTTTATTTTTTTCAAACATCAATTAACATTACCTTTCTCTTTCCACGTTCAATTCAGCATCATACAGACAGAAGGGTTTATCAATAGTAGTACATTCTTTCATGAACTCTATCGAGCCCCCTGGGTCCGCCGAGATATCACATAATGCAATCAAACGATGTGGTAATTGCGGACAACCCTCACTCGATGGAATCCATGGAAACTCAGCAGCTCTCAGAAGTGTTTTGGCATCAGGAATGGTCAGTAGTCGAGGTGAATTTGGGGCCCAGTATATACCATTTATAATACACGAGGAGTAAGGTGCAACCTATATATGGAATAAAAAACAAATAATGACTTGAGAATTCAGCAAATTTGTTAATATGAAGAACAAAATTTATTGTCTTGAAGGAAGAATTAATATATCCAGCCATTCATTTTGTTAAGTTTAAAGTCACATCAACAATGAAAAGGTCATATGTCAACTATCCAGCTTTACTGGTGGAGGGAGATCTCAAATTCTCCTTATAACAGACTTGAGGAATGTCTTACGTAGAACCACCCATGTTCCGTAAGCTAGCTTGATTACTTCCTCACATTCAAGATTCCATAATATCTAACAGGATTTGAACCCACAGTGGTTAGGGGCAAGTGATTTGAAGTCAGCGACCTTAACCACTCAGCCACAGAGGTCCCTTAATCTATCTCTGCACCTGCAAGTTTTAAGTTTAACAATACCCACCTTGTGACTGAAAGTTGATGCATATCTTTCTGGATGCTCCTCAAACTCTGCAGCATCAAATTTACCACCTTCTAACCTGACATAGTGGTCATCACGACTGACCACACAACCATACACTTTCCTCATTGCTGAAATGAATGTAAATTTTGTACATGTGTGTTATACATCTCACAGGCTGGTCATTATGGGCACTTGTAATGCAGGAGGTTCATTTAAGGTTTCTCTATCATTTTGTTCTCTCACATGATTTATATAACTGCAACAAGAAATATAATAACCTCATCAAAACTAGTAACCTTGTACACAACAAATATTGTGTAAAAGAGAGCACTGTCAAAAGACACAGTGAAAATAATGAAAACACAACATGTACATTCTTTTTGCATTTTTTCAGTAAATTAATTTTGACAGATTGGCAATGATTTCAACAATATTAAGTTTCATCTATGATATAATTGTATAACATTTATAACAAAAAGTTATGTGTAAAATTTTATTTGGTCTCAAAGGTCAGTTTCAGTTAGATTCTAAGAATAATGAAATACATTTGTATACAATTAATGATGAAACTACATCAACCTTTACTCTGCTAAATATCTGTATTGATGTGCCTGATTCTATAAATATCTTATAGTTAAATGAATCTTTTGTATTCAAGCCAGATGTTTGTAAGAATTTAACATCAGTTTCCAGAACAGATTGGAATATCTGGCACACAAGGGTAACTGTTAAAGGTAAATTATGCTTACATCCTTTCTTAGCAACAGTTGGTAGGTGATCAGGTTCTATATACTCATGTGGTAACTCCTGAAATACTTCCTGGGCTCCCTACAAAATATACAAGTCTAAATTATATATTTACATATATGATGCTTAGATATTACACTTCTATATCAAAGTGTAAGTATTTTTCATATCTTTGTCACATGAAACTATTAAATTTCAATTAACTGCAATGTGTACATCTCTCACATGTGCATAAGAAATGTATTATTGTTGGGGTGCAGAACATGATCAGCTCCCACATCCATGCCGTCTGATCAATGTCTGCACTGTTCCCTATTCAGTCAGTACATGTATGTAATTTTCCCAAAAAATGATGAATAGTTTTGTCCAGATTGTGTATTTAGCATGGAAATTGGTAGGTTGACAAATTACAGATCATATGGTGTTTAAACAGCTTAAACTGTTACAGTAAGTTGTATGGTGTCAAATAGCCCCTTCACAATATCAAAATGCCATCTTCACTACTGGAAAAAATGATGCCACTTTGACAATGAAAATTTCTTTGATTGCTTACATACAATAGTATTTCAACAAAATCTCAAAGCTTATTTAGCAGTATCATCTTGAATATCCTTAAATATTAATTAACTATTTACAACATAATTAAATCAGAAATATGTTGATATATCTCAAAGAAATGTTTTCTCTTAATCATTAAACAAGAGGGCCATGATGGCCCTGAGGTCGCTCACCTGTATATAGCCCCCCCCCCCCGGCCCAATTTTTACCCAAGGGCTTTTATTTGTTTATTTGAACAGACTTGGTAGACACCCATAAGAAGATGTTTCATGCAAAACATCTAAGTTCTAGCTCATTGGGTTTTTTAAAAGAAGATTTTTTTAAGTTTTTACTATACACATAGAGTAAAAAACAATGACACCCCTCGGGCAGGGCCAGTTTTGACCCCTGGGCTTTTATTTGAACAAACTTTGTAGATATTTACTTAAAGATGTTTCATGCTTAATATCTAAACTCTAGTTATTTGGGTTTTTTCAAAGAAGATTTTTAAGTTTTTGCTATGTATATAAGGAAAATCAATGACCCCCGGGGCGGGGCCAGTTTTGACCCCAGGGCTTTTATTTGAACATACTTGGTAGACACCCATTAGAACATGTCTCATGCTAAATATCTTAGCTCTAGCTCTTTGGGTTCTTTAAAAGAAGATTTTATAAGTTTTTACTATATGCATATAAGGAAAATCAATGACCCCTGGGGAGGGGCTAATTTTGACCCCAGGGCTTTTATTTGAACAAACTTGGTAGACATTCACTAGAAGATGTTTCATGCCAAATATATAAGCTTTAGCTCTTACAGTTCTTTAAAAGAAGATTTTTTAAGTTTTTACTATATGCATATAGGGAAAATCAATGACCCCCTGGGGCGGGGCCAATTTTGACCCCAGGGCTTTTATTTGAACAAACTTGGTAGACATTTACTAGAAGATGTTTTATGCCAAATATCTAAGCTCTAGCTCTTACAGTTCTTTAAAAGAAGATTTTTTAAGTTTAAACTATATGCATATAGGGAAAATCAATTACCCCCCAGGGCGGGGCCAATTTTGACCCCAGGGCTTTTATTTGAACAAACTTGGTAGACATTCACTAGAAGATGTTTCATGCCAAATATCTAAGCTCTAGCTCTTACAGTTCTTTAAAGGAAGATCTTTTAAGTTTTTACTTTATGCATATAGGGAAAATCAATGACCCCCTGGGGCGGGGCCAATTTTGACCCCAGGGCTTTTATTTGAACAAACTTGGTAGACATTCACTAGAAGATGTTTCATGCCAAATATCTAAGCTCTAGCTCTTACAGTTCTTTAAAGGAAGATTTTTTAAGTGTTTACTATATGCATATAGGGAAAATCAATGACCCCCCAGGGCGGGGCCAATTTTGACCCCAGGGCTTTTATTTGAACAAACTTGGTAGACACTCACTAGAAGATGTTCCATGCCAAAAATCTTAGCTCTAGCTCTTACAGTTCTTTAAAAGAAGATCTTTTAAGTTTTTACTATATGCATATAGGGAAAATCAATGACCCCCCGGGGGCGGGGCCATTTTTGACCCCAGGGCTTTTATTTGAACAAACTTGGTAGACACTCATTAGAAGATGTTTCATGCCAAATATCTAAGCTCTAGCTCTTAGGGTTGTTTAAAAGAAGATATTTAAAGATTTTTCTTTCGGTTGCCATGGCAACCAGAGTTCTGCATGGAATTAAATTCTTTGAACAATTTTTAAAGGTGACCACCAAAGGAACATTCCTGTGAAGTTTGGATGAAATTGGCTCAGTGGTTTATGAGGAGATGTCATTTAAAGCAAAAGTTTACGGACGGACGACGGACGGACGGACGCCGGACGAAAAGCGATCACAAAAGCTCACCCTGTCACTTTGTGACAGGTGAGCTAACAATGATATGTATTGGTAACTGGCATCATAATTTAGGAAAGCCAACCCTGCTCTCTATGCAAATCTAGCAGAATAAGGTATATAGGTAAAACTGAGATTCATATTTCAATTAATTTCATGTAGATTCTAAACCTAGCTTACGTTTGAGACATTTCCAGACCCTGTAAATATAAATGTTAAAGGTCCAATAGATCTAGGCATTCTACCAAGAGCTATCTCGTACCCCGCGTCCCTCACAGCTTGTCGAGCAGCCTCACTGTTACGATAGTTGTGACTGGGTCCAATATGCTAGACAAAAATCAAACATATAACATTAATACATTCATCACATATCTTTACAGTTTTTGCCATTCTGTAGAAATATAATATGGTACTATTATGTATATATTTTGATATGACATTATTTGCCTTCTATAAAAAAATCCTAAAATCCTAATTCACAGCAGCATAAGGATGTCGATGAAAACATGTGTGAAGTTTGATACTTTTAGTTAACTTTGGTTTTACCTTTTACCTTAACCTTTAGCCTACTGAATTTCTTAAATAGACTTTTCCACTTTCCATTTATAGAACATCATCAAATTTGGAGATATCAAGAAGAGAATTTAAAGTTAGTCAGTCAACAGTATCGAACCTTGTTGGCTGCACAGAAATGCAACCTGACCTGGCTCTATGCTGAGGGCAAAGGTTAATCACTTTAAGGTCCAGCAGGCCAAAGGTTAAATATATGAAGTAATAATGCTATTGGCAAGTTGGAAACTCCTTATTACATACAGTAAAGTAATTATACAAATATACCTTAAATTAAATCTTTAATACTAATATAATTATACAAACAATCATGGAAACTGTTGTACATGAGTATATTTGCATACATTATCTCATTATAACAAATATAATGTATATTAATTACCATGAATGGTGTATGATGTCCAAGAGCTAGCAGACGTAGACCCATACCATGTAGAATATTTATCATGCCGACCACACCGGCATATTTACCGAAAGCTACAACACGCTGACCCCCGTCATCCACCATCTTCTCGTAATCTATCAGTCTTACATTCTACAATAAATATTGCAGTTGTCAAAATAACATTAATTATGATATTATCTCATATATGATTGGCTATAAATATAACATAAATTGAAACTGTTGAGAATTTTTACTTGAACATGTCCGTAAGGATTTATCCAGTATTTTACTTTTCATTGTGGTGTTTTGAAGTACTCTAAATATCTGACAGGGTGCTATGTTTAGAGAGAGATGTAGCATTGCAGTAAAGGTGGCTACCTCTCAATCAAGGGTATGAGGTATTCAAGACCTACTGGGTCATGACCATGATTCCTCATATCACACCAGTATTGGTTAGCTCTAGGAAATTTGAGAAGTTCGAGAGAGGTTCACATCAGCATACATAGCAAATGAACTAAAATAAATATGTTAAAACTTAAATGCATTGCATGAAATTATTTAAGAAAAAAAACAACCTTTTCAAGTATAGCATCAAGTAGAGGCATGTTGTCTTTCTGTGCTTTGATTGTGTGAGAAAAGAAGCAGAATGTTTTATCTGGCATTAGAAGATCTATGGGCACTTGTTTAACACCAATTACAACAGATGCTTCACTGAGATCCTCCTGGATAACAGCACCTTTCTCAATATATTCCTGATAATAAAACAAAAATGACTCACTTATTAATATATTAATATATGAAACTGAAATTTTACAAAGTTGGACCATATTGTTATATGTATCTGCATAACACTTATCATTAAGGATGGCAACGAATACCAAAATCTTTACTTGAGTACTCGGACATTTTTCCGATCGAGTATTCGGTTACTCGGATGATTTCCAATTATCTAATAAATATAAACATAAGAAATGTCAATGACTGCATTTATTATATACCTATAAATTTTCTCCCTAAAATACAGGATAATCTTGAAGCGCAAAATACGCTTCAACTGCTAGAAAATTCTGTATTATGTTAGTGACAAATACGGTACCATATATGGAAGTGCTGGACAATTTTTGACGTTGGTTCTGATCTTAGCTGTGTTTAACAACGGGATCCAAAATAATGAAAGGTGTGGCCGGTTTTGCAAAAAGTACGTATTTATTCGTCAGTCATAAATTTATTTCTTGACAGCTACATTTCATTTTCTGAAATTTCTTATGGAAGTGTAGTATAATGAAAATCATTTATTCTTCAAACGAAAAGGTATATAATAAAAGGAAAATTATGTTGTAGTAGCTTGCTGAGGCTATGCATTTTTCTACTCGCAATGTTGGAAAATTGATATAAATTTTCCATCGCTGCTCGTAGCAAAATACAAAGCCTCCATACATAATATTTCCCTCAGAAAGCTACTACAACATAATATTCTGTATATATTTATGTTTTTATAATTAACAAATTTGGGCTACAAACTGTCACATAGTCAAAGGTGATAAAATATCATAAGAGGCCGAATGACGTAAACGACACAGGACTTTATTCAGTCAAACTGCTAATGGCCTTGTTAAATTTACAATATCATTTTCACACCTCTGCAAGAATGTTTTGATTGCATTTAACAAGTATTTATACAGAAACATGTTCATCTCCGAATTTCTGAACTAATTTGATGCACCAACTTTTCTAAATCGCAAAAAAGTAGAATTATTTAAAAAAAAAATTCCGAGTAATCGAATATCAATTTTGTTAACCGATATTCGGACTTTCTATCGAGTACTCGGTTAACCGGTTACTCGTTGCCATCCCTACTTATCATTAAACAAATCTAATAAACATATTCATTTAATAACGACAGCTGTCAGTAGGACAGCGTGTTTGACTATTCAAAACAACAGCCTGGATAATGTACAATTTTCTACATTCAAAACGGGCCTTGATTCAGTCAAAATCCATGATAGAGTGATGATCCATGTAAATGTTTCAACCAATTCCATTCAGTAGGTTTGGAGATACCCACTTGCATGCAAAAACTTAACCAAAGTTTGATGCCAACTCTGATGCCTGGATGAGTTCAATAGCTCTCCCTATTTTTCAAACAGCTTATAAAAACATTAAAAGCAATAAACAAATTAAACTTCATCTATAAACAAAGTCTATATCACATAAACGATGTGCTTATTATAACATGAATTCGTAATACCCATTACCACTGTTGTACAGCGTCCACCGGATATAGCCCCTAAAAACACCGAAAACGAAAGTAGAAAGCTGCACAACGAGTACACCCAAGGTAATGTTTTAACTTATTTCTTCATCATTACTTCATCGATTTTTCCAAACTAAACAATATTGTGAAGCGAAATATGTCTAGTTTTACAGCAGTGTTTGCTTTTGCCTGCAAACTAAATACTTTTTGTTAAATTGGTGATCAAATGTAGCGTATTTGTTGACATTTGCAAACGATGTTGATATTTACCACTAAATCAAGCACAAAACGCATTTGCTGTATCAAATTCCGCCGTTAATACAAACTATAGTCATCCCTCTACTTATATTTGAGTTTTCACCCTTCAACTCGAGCTGCTTTTAACAAAATTTGCGAAAAACTGCCTTGCCTTGTGTACAGAGTCTAGCACGGATTTGTACGGGGTGTAGATGGAAAACTGATAGCGATTGTACGGGGTGTAGTAGGAAAACGAATGTCATTTTCTGCAAAATAAATTCAGTACCAGAGCATATACACGTGCGCTGATGAAGAAAACGATTTATGTCGGGATCAGGGATTGTGAAGTGAATGATTTTAATTTTATTAAGGATAAAAATGTTTAATTGAATTGTCAACATGTTACGCAACATGTATATTAATTGCAGTAAACAGTTTCCGTCCTGCTATACCACTTTTTATGCGTGACTATATGTTAATAGGGTAAATGTAAAACTCAAAAGACCACAATTTCATTCCATATTTAGTAGAACATTATGAACAGAAAATTCTATAATTTGTCTTAAACAATTTCAAACCATGTTCGTGTTATGCATTGTGAACTAAACTTGATCTAAACTATATTTGTTTATTATGTTACCGGCCTTAAGACTTCATTGAAAACAAACAATATGTTAATGAGCTTTGGTAAAATATCCGCCTTGATTAGTTAGGTTAATCATTAGATTTATCTTTGTGGAAATACCATATTACATGCTATAAAGTCCTTCATAGTTTTTGCAGTCAAACTCGGATGACCTCACTTGTGATTTCGATATTCAGTTTAATAAATACAATGCTGCCGCTTATATGACGCTGTTTTTTTCTGAAAATGATTATGATGACTCTTCAATGATGATGATGACGATGATGATAATGATGGTATTTTATGTTTTCATTTCAACATTGCCATACCAATGTACAGAGTATGCAGAGAGATATGAAACATTTAAAGAGTCTATTCGGCATCTTCTAAGCCGACTAATAGCTTATATAAGGCGGCTAAAACTGTTTTATAGAAGACAGTGCTAATGCCGTTTTGTAGAAAATGACAGTCCTGCATAATCTTTTAAACTTCGACCTCCTACCTTATGTGTAGGTTAGTTATACATGTATATATATATATATAAATATATCCCCATTTGGACCATCTCCATTCAGCGAGTCGGTAAGAAGACTCCTCAACATGTCTTATAAATACCGACAGACACTATTCAGCTGATGGTTGTGATGGTATGACAATAAAAATTAAACGCAGCTATACTGTTGGGCTCAAAAACACTAAAAACATAAATTATTTACCAAACACGGTGAAATACCTCTATATCGTCCTCTAACCTATCCATGTTTAGTCTGATATGAGATTATTTCCAATTAAAAATAATAAAAAAGACTATACATTATAAATATGTGACTGCTAGACACCGTACACATCTACTAAACCCTGTACATTAAACTACTACACCCTGTTCACTTAAATTTGTTTTCTTTGCTAGACTCTGTACACAAGGCAAGGCAGATTTTTGCGAATTTTGTTAAAAGCAGCTCGAGTTGAAGGGTGTAAACTCAAATATAAGTAGAGGGATGACTATAATTTGTGTAAAACGGAAAATTTTGATACAGCAAATGCGTTTTGGGTTTGATTTAGTGGTAAATATCAACATCGTTCGCACATGTCAACAAATACGCTACACTTTTTCGCCAAGTTAACAAAAAGTAGTCAATGTGCAGACAAAAGCAAATATTGCTCTAAAACCAGAATCATTAAGCTTCACAAAATTGTTTAGTTTGGACAAATCGATGAAGTTATGATGAAGAAATAAGTTTAAACATTACCTTGGGCGTACTCGTTGTGAAGCTTTCTACTTTCGTTTTCGGTGTTTTTAGGGGCTATATCCGGTGGACGCTGTACAACAGTGATTACATTGATTATTTATTTCCATGTGTTTTAATACATGGGTCGAATGAAAGATTGTTTAGGTTATGTTTGCCATACATAGATTAACTAGCATCAAAAATCTGTCTTATTCTTTTTATGCATGATTTTACTCTTTCATGGTATTTTGAATTTTTTTTTTTTTGTAATATACTGTGAAAATGAAAAGCAATGGTAAATGGCAACAATTTTTAATCTATTTTTTTTACAGTCCTTTTATAGTAATATACACATGGGTGCAATTTCAAAATGTTAGAAAATGTAGAAGCCATGAATTCAAAAATATTTCAACTGGTTTTATATTGAAAAAGTATAAAAAAACCTGAACTTCAGGCAAATACCTGAAAACATGTGCCAGTGTATACATTACATATCATAATGAAGATCACAGTCACCAGTCCTATCTGCTTAATTCACGCTAAGTGACTAACCTGCATATTATATGCCCGTCTGTTTGATGGTTGAACTATAACCCTCACTCCTTTCTTCACTAACTTCTCCACATGTCTTGGTGCCAAAGGTGCTCTTCTCTCCCACACATTAACAGTCTCTCTCCGTATAGCTAATGTTGGCCGGTCGGAATAAGACATACATCTGACACACTGATTGCCATAGATTCCAGCTGGACTGTTGACATGACGCCACAGCAGATGAGATTTCTGCCTCCACATTGTAACTCACTGATCAAACTTATATTATATCTGAAAACATTAAAGAGAGTTGTATATGAATCTGACCTTTTCCTTGCCATTTTGGGGAAAAAGACCTAGCCTAGTCTGGTAAATTTTGCATCCAAAATTGCTCAATTGCGAAATTATTACCATTATTGCCATAAGTACCTTTTTAGACATCCTTTCAGGCTCTTTTGGCTTTATGTTTTTAATTGTGCGACATAGCTTATTCTAACCAACACAAATATGTACCAGGGTGTTACAAATAAATAAATAAATATAGAAGATAAAATTAAGGAAACATCTGTTTGTTGTAAGATACCAGATTGAACGTCAGCAAACTGTTTGTTTGGATCAATAATTTCAGTTCAATATGGATTTTTTTTAATGATTTGGAATTACCTTTAGGAATGGGTCCGATAATCTGACCCTTGGTGACACATGGAAAAGGCATGTGTATTCAAATAAAACAGAAAATAAATTTCATATTGGCCTGACAATAATCTAAAAATAAACAACCTATCAGAAAAAAGTTCACCAAAGTCATGGTTTACTCAAAATAATTAGTTATTTTACATTTTAAAATATAGACAATACATGTAAATCAAACACTTAATTTAGCAGTTAATCCAAAATCTCAATAACAAAAAATTCCGAAGATGAAAGTAATGTGTTTTTTACGGTGGCATAAAGGTGACATTTGCACTTTTATTTTATCTTGTGGCCACGACTTATTATCTTGTGGCCTCAAGATATTATCTCGTGGCCACGAGTTATTAACTTGTGGCCACGACATATTATCTTGTGGCCACGACATATTATCTTGAGCCCACGACTTATTATCTCGTGGCCACAAGATATTATCTCGTGGCCACGACTTATTATCTTGTGGCCTCAAGATATTATCTTGTGGCAACGAGTTATTATCTTGCGGCCACGACTTATTATCTCGTGGCAACGACTTATTATATTGAGGCCACAACTTACTATATTGAGGCCACGACTTATTATCTAGTGGCCACGAGTTATTATCTTGTGGCCACGACTTATTTTAGCCAATGAAAATGGTCGTTTCATCTTGAACAAAAGTTAATATCACTAAGACCTTATATCACACTGGCCACAGCTTTCACAAGAGCGGCGGGTCAAACGAAGAAGAATATTGCTAATTGTTACATAGTCCCTTTGTACATGGTAACATAAAATAAACATGTTTTGACTTCACAGATAGTTGATATGTTATGTTTAAAATTCTACACAATATAGGTGTTCACCATGAATATATGTAGTGTCAGTTTTTTAAGTAAAGATTACTTGACCTGTTATAGGGAATGCAGCTTCCTGTACATAATTTATTGATTTCTTTATTCAAGTTAGACGCATTAAGTTAGAATATCATAGATTTAAATAGATTTCTGTGATTTTAATATTCAAGGATGAGCACGGTTTATCTAATGTGAAGTCAAACTTGTTTATTTTATGTTTACAAAGAGACAGTGTAACAATTATCAATATTTTCTAATATCAAATTTAAGCAAAGTATATCTTAGAAGATGAAAGAAAGAAACACCTGGCAATACAAAACAGAAGAAAGGGGTACACTAATAACTATAAAACGCCCCCCTTATTCATCGCTGCAGCGTTTGACCCGCCGCTCTTGCGACACTTTGGCCAGTGTAATATACAGTCGTTGTAATATTAACTTTTATTCAAGATGAAACGACCATTTTAATTGGCTGTAATAAGTCGTGGCCACAAGATAATAAGTCGTGGCCACGAAATAATAAGTCGTGGCCACAAGATAATAACTCGTGGCCACGAGATAATATCTTGAGGCCACAAGATAATAAGTCGTGGCCACGACATAATATCTTGAGGCCACAAAATAATAAGTCGTGGCCACGAGATAATATCTTGCGGCCACGAGATAATAAGTCGTGGCCACAAGATAATAAGTCGTGGCCACAAGATAATAAGTCGTGGCAACGAGATAATAACTCGTGGCCACGAGATAATTAGTCGTGGCCACGAGATAATAGGTCATGGCCACAAGATATTAAGTCGTGGCCACGAGATAATATCTTGAGGCCTCAAGATAATAAGTCGTGGCCACGAGATAAAATAAAACTGCAAATGTCACCTCTATGCCACCGTAGTTTTTGCTTTATTTGAAACTGTACAAATTTATATAATTTTCCTTATTACAATGTTACTCTTATTCTGTCAAAATTTCACCTCAAAATAAGTTTTCAAAAAAAAAGAAGCTTTTAAAGTATAGAATTATCAAACAATTTACATGTAATATCAACTTTAAATCTTTACTTATCATTACCACTTAGCCTGCTGAACATAAAGTAACATTAGCCTTTCCCAAATCAGCTCAATTTTTGTATTTTGATATTGTGACCCCTAAAACTTTTAATGAATTGTTCCAAATTCAAAGCTGGACAAATCCATTCCATTATGTCAGCAGGTTAAGGGCATATTAGTCATGATTGTTAAATGCAAAACACAAACAAACTGATTTATAGAAAATAAACCTGGGATAAGCCTACTTCTTGATTCCACTGTAATTTACATATACTGGAAGGTCAAATTAAATTTCTGCACACTTAAAAGTCAACTAATTAAGGATTATATTGTTAATTTATATCAATAATAGTTTATTATACCATTAATCAATATACATGTATACCTTAAAAATCCTATTAAACGCCCCTCTCCTTATAAAGCCTCTGTAGGCTACCTGTCACAATTTTTCACAAATTTTACTTTATTTTCTATGAATTTGGAAAAAGCCTGCTAATCAATTAAAAGAAAAATGTATAAACTGATTTAACTGTAAGGTAAACGTGCCTATTTTATAATGAAGTTGATACAATATCAGCTTCATGTCCCAACATTCAACTAACTATAACCAGACTCTCCATCACTGGCTACTTATATATTCTAACTTAATTTATAGGTTACTGTAAGCCAAATGGAACTTGTGTTATACTCTAGAAAGCACAAGTTTTAGTAGTGCTCCAGAAACCACAATTTTCTGTGTAAAGATCATTGTGACCTGACCTTTAACCTTATGACCCTAAAATCAATAGGGGTCATGTATTGGACATGGCTGTGTATCCTATAAAATTTTACAGCTGTAGGTTGATTAATACTTAAGTTATTGAGCAGAAACTGTTTTCAGTTTAAGGTAATAGTGACCTTGACATTTGACCTTGTGACACCAAAAACAATAGGGGTCTTCTACCTAATATTGACAATCATCCTTTGAAGTTTGAACGCTATGGGCCAAATGGAACTTAAGTTTTGCTCTAGAGACCACAATTTTCAGTGTAAAGATCATTGTGACCCTGATTGAGCAGAAAGTGTTTTCAGTTTTAAGGTAATACTGACCTTGACCTTTGATCTTGTGACCCCAAAATTATTAGAGGTTTTCTACACAATATGGACAATAATCCTATGAAGTTTGAATATTTTTGACCAAATGGAACTTAAGTTATGCTCCAGAAACTGTTATCAGTTTTAAGGTAATAGTGACCTTGACCTTTGACTTTGTTACCCCAAAATCAATATGGGTCTTCTACTCAATATGCAAAATCATTCTATGAAGTTTGAATATTGTGGGCCAAATGGAACTTAAGTTATGCCCCGGAAACTGTTTTCAGTTTTAATGTAATAGTGAACTTTCACCTTGTGACCCTAAAATCAATAGGGGTCTTCTACCCAATATGGACAATCATCCTATAAAGTTTGAATATTGTGGGCCAAATGGACCTTAATTAAGTTATGCTCTGGAAACCAAATTGCTAAGGGATGGACATCCAGCCGAAATGGGATAAGGGGCCATTATTTTTGCTATTTTCTATTGTTTAATAGAGGGCTAATGTCCCCTTATTTTATTGTTATGGAAATGAACTCTATTGTTCTCTTTTTGTTCTGTTTACAGTTAGATGGCCAATAATCCCTATTCGGTAATGCAGACAGACGGATGGATGGACACCAGGGAGTATAACATAATACAGGTCTTCCATTAAGTTTCAAAATTTGGAAGTCAGAGACTGCAAAATTTCTGATATTGGATTTGGAAGTCACATTATATATAGGTCATATTAGGTGAAGAAGGAAAAGTATTAGATTTTGGAAGTCACAAGCCAAAATCAAACTTTGACCTTAGGTTCATGATGGAAATAATTTTCGTTGAAGACTACAAATTGATGCTATATGCAAAATATCTCCACTCTGGGCTTTGTAGTTAGGAGACTTATAATGTACATGTATGTAATATGCTATAGAGTATGTACATGAACTGAAGAATGTACAAAACATATACATATATATACTGTACTAAGTGAAGAATATGCAGTGCACATAACAATTTAATGAAGAGTGAATTTTAAAAAGTAATGACTGAAGTATCTACACAACAAGATAGAAAACATACAAATCATAATAATCACATTTATCACAAAATGTGTTGAGTTATATGCATATAAAAGAAATAACAACAATTAAGGCCTAAGGTACTGTTACTAATGTGCATTTCATATTCTGCTAATCTATTTTCAGAACAATCCTTGTCTAGATATAATTTTGCAATACTAGTAAAATATTCACATGATCGTATTTATGAACCAATTAAGTCTTTCAAAAACTTAATTAGTCATTTGCGTCTCATTATGTTATCAGGGTTTGAAAATAAATCACATTTTAAAAATAAGAATTATTTTAACAGATTTATCTGATTGTCCTATAACTATGCCAGTTTGTACAACTTTAGTGCACTATTATGCAAGTAAATAACAATCCAGTGTAGCGTTTGGATTGAATTACTGTGCTTATAAATCAAATGATTTGACAGTCCAAAATTAAGGGTAAGAAAACAGTAACTATACATATAACTTTAAATTTATACCACGATATTTCACAAAATAAAAAAAACCTGTAAAAAAATATATATATATGCTGAAAAAATGAAAATTATTCTAAATTACAAATCATCTTCATAGCTATAACAATTTTACGTTTTAAATTGTATATACAACAACAAATACATGTATACTATACAAAACTAAAACTGACGTTTTGGCATTGTGCGAGCAAATCACAATTCTCGTGTTTAACTTTTTTTCTTATATGCGCAGACGTTGATACAGTTAAAGCTTACAAGTATAAATAGTTTTATACTCACCTTCAATCTGTAAAATCTGTAAATTGCTCTGTTAAAGAAAGAAATAACAAAAAAATCAGATCCAAATTAATTTGTTCGCCTTCTTCGGAAATTTTTTGTCCTTGAACTAAGTGGTAGTTGCCATTTTAAACCAATCAACGTGCATTAAGAGTACACACCTCCACACGCCTTAAAATGTAAACACATCCGAACAGAGCAATCACGGTATTGTACCCTGTACGTTGTAAACGTGTAGACGAACTGTCAAAGTAGTAGATAGATAGATAGATATTCTTTATTTCCTCCATTTAGAAGAGCATATCATAATTATGTACAAATATAATATAATCGTGACATATTTACAAATATTACAGTTACATATATAACAGTTTTATATGATATTAACATTGTTTCAAACATATTCATTAGTCGCCGGAGAAGTCGCCGGTAGAAACCGGCGACTATATTTGTAACAGTTTAATATTATACCTATGGTAGGAGAAGGCATTAATTTTTGTAAATAAAAGCATAACAATTACTGAACAATTAAAGACTACAATTGTTTTCAGTAATCTCAAAAATTCAAACATACAATAATGTTGTTAAATGAAATGAAATATTCAAATACTGACATCGTAAAAAGCAACGTTACAATATTTATAAAATGAATTAATGACGTATCCCTTTGGACCAGTCATTGAATGTAGAGATGCTTTTACTTTTTTTAAAGTGTCAAGCGTTGCTATTTTATGATAAATAAATCATGTATGATATTTGAAATGACACTTTTAAATTATCTGGTTGTTTGCATCTTATGAGACCTATTCTATTTTTGTATTTTCTGATCGTAAGATCAGTAAATACATAGCTAACATCCACGGTCTAACACAAAATTTCCTTACAGTCCTAACAACGCAAAGTAGTTCTCACTCAAAACTGCTTAAAAACCAGCACTTTAAAAGAAGGAATAATTTTTAATGTAGGCATTTAACAAATTACAGTGCATTAAAAGTTTAGATTAGTCAATAGAAATATGAGGTTACAATCACAAATTTCGCGGATGAATATCTTTTTTACCCAATGAAAAATGTTCGGCTATTTCCGTAAAGCTTCGGATTATCATGAATATCATTTTAATCAATGAAAATGCTATTTTTAGCTATGTCGATTAATGAATACTCCAGAGCGTAGTACACAAATAAATCTGACTGTCGAGTAGTGGAATATATACAAATCGGACTGTTTTGGCGAGAAGATTTTCGCTAAATTATTTTCATCAGTGTTAAACAACAGGTTTATCGTGAACAAAATACCTCGAAATTAATAAGGATTGCAAACACGAAATAGAAATTCTCAATTTAGAATTACATAATGTATTCGTTTTTATTCAATGTACATATGTATTACTTCGCCGTGGTGCAGAGGTAAGCGGTCTCGTTGAGGGTGTGAGAGGCATATAGTTCAAATCCTAGTCGAGGCAATTCTATTTTCTTTTTCATGCAAAATTCCATATGTATCAATCTCAAACTGTTATAGAAGAAAATCAAAACGCTGTCGCTGCGTAAGATGAATTATAGTATATAAAAATAAACTTATACAGGAAAGTACATACAGATAGTCAGTATGATTTAGATTGCAAAGATCAGAAAATACCATAGAGCTGCAGCCCTTTGATTTATCTTATTTATTATAAACAGTTTCTCCCAGAATCACGTGACTACACGTTGTATATATGTTATTGGTATGAAATCTATTAATAGTAACAAATGGCTGATAAGATAGACATACAGGTAATATGTGAATGGTTGGCAGCTGATAAAGTGCAAATCAAAGTAATTTTGTAATGACAGTAGGGGTCGGAATCGTATTGGATACACAGAGAAAACTAATAAACCATCTTTGTGTTGATAGTTTATCGCACTGAAAGGCAATTAAACATTAACTTTATTGTATGTAACGACAGGCATATTGATTTCAGCTAAATAATATATTTTTTCGATAGTGCATAAGAATAATTTGTTTATGCAGACACCACTTTTACAGTAGAATTGCACTGTTTTATGCAATAATTAAGCATATATATTTTCATAGTCACTTTGCAAATATTCGATGATCGGTAATAATTTGTCGGTAATTATCGGATGCTGAAGAAAACCATACGTTCAACGGTACATGTATAAAATAGAATTATAATCATATCACTTGCTTTACAAGCCTCGATGAAAAGATGTTAGGTTTTAAGTTAGTTTCAAATTGAAGACTGTAGGTTCGATTTACAAGCCTCGATGACAAGATGTTAGATTTTAAGTTAGTTTCAAATTGAAGACTGTATAGGTTCGATAAAGTGATTTTTTATGTTTTCTTTTATAATACTTTTTGTATTTTGCAAAACTTGACCGTTTATCAAAATAATGAAATAAAAAAGTGCTAGAAATGAAACACACGATTTATCAACTTATGTTTCATAAAGTTAAAAGATATAATAAAAATCAATTTATGAAAACTACACACAGGATTTGTCCGAGATTCGAGCTTGCGCCTACTACATGTAGGTTACTACCACTAGGCCATCGAGCAGTATTAATTGATATGATTATACATGTAATTATACTTACAATAAAATCGTTAACATTAATCATAATAAGTTATGTAAGCAAACGAAACAGCTCCCGAAAATTATTGAGTCACAGGTAAATATTGCCAAACAATACTTGCTTATTTATTAATGATAAGAGTTTCTTGACAAAATTGCTAAGCAAGTTTGATTCAAATATGATGTTTTATTATAACATAAGATAATTTTTTTGCATAAAACTCTCAGCAAGAAAGATATAATTGTGGCAAGTAAATGAAAACGTGTTTATGAATAAACATTACTCAACTTATTGTTCCTCTTTTCTTTATACGTGGACCATTGAACTGATTTTTTCTTTTATTTATGATAATACAATCATATTTCTATCCGGCGACTTGATGCTTTAGCATCAAAATCTCTACTTGTACATCCTGTAATGGTATAAGGTTTAAGAAGCGGATATTTACAACCAATAGAAACAAATGATAGACGTAATTACTACACGTAATTCATATTTGTAATCATTACAAAATGAGTTTTAACATGCTTAGTAAAGATAATCACCACATTCGTAATTATACCAAACGCAAAACGTTAACAATTGTTATAGACAAAATGCATTAAATTGTTACCATCATATAACATTTAAATGTTACAAAGTATTTCAAGCACGAGTTGTTGTCGTTTCAAATTCTTTAAAGCTATGCATTGCAGACATCTTCTATCAAATATATCTAAAACACAAGCCTTATTCATCCGTATACTGTATGTAGTGGAACAGACATGTAATGTATTGATCTAGCTACAGTTTTAAAAAGTGCCACCCTGTTGCTATCTTCCATGTTGAAGGATGGAAACCCAGATAACAGTTCAATAGTTTGTTCATGATAGTTTAATGAGCATTGTCATTATCTTTTGAGATAGCTTGCACTAAACATTGCCAAATGGTGAGATGTAATAATTTGTAAAATATAGCATTACATGTATGTTTTCAGTGCAATTTGTTGTGTCCAGACATTTCACCTCATTCTTTACGTTGGTTGAAGTTGTTTTTGAGAAATACGAGTATGTTTATAAATGCTCGAAAACATGTATTTTTCAAAAAAAATTATAATCAGTGTATTACCTACATATATAGTTTTCTATCTATTTCAGATTTATGCACATCGCCTGCTATTATTTTTATATGGGAGGAATTATGAAAACTGTTGTAGTGTTTATATCTCAATCATATAGTTTCCACTTTCGACACACAACGTTTCACAGGAAATATATTTTGTCCCTGGAAAAAAAGAGTTACGGAGTAGGAGTGCACGTATAGCCAAAACTTAAAAGTCCTTCCATTCGCGATAGGACCGAAAGATACCACAAATGATGATGTTATGGAATATAAATAACTCTAGGGTAAAATAATTGTTTCTATTTCATACCTTGTAAAATGTGACAAATGAACTTCCATTGTTTGCACTGTGTGATATTCCAATATAAATAATTATTTTTAGTATCCAATCTTATCAGGGGCGTCCGTGGCTGAGTGGTTAAGGTCGTTGACTTCAAACCACTTGCCCGAATCCCGTGCTGTCGAATCCCGACAGGGACTTTGGATTCTTTCATGTGAGGAAGCTATCCAGCTAGCTAGCTTACGGAACGTCGGTGATTCTACTCAGGTGCCCGTTCGTGCCTGAAATAATGCACGGAAGGGCACCTGAGGTCTTCCTCCACCAGTAAAGCTGGAACGTCGCGATATGACCTATACTGTGTCGATGTGACGTAAAACCCAAAACAAAACAAAAAAACAATCTTATCAATTTGGCCTTGATTACATGTTTTAGTAAAAAAAAAAACATTCTCAAATCTGTATTGTGTGCCATCTAGTCTTTTCTTTGTTCATGCGAGTTCAAAAAATCTTTATTAAGTACATATTGGGCTAATATGGTAACAAAGTTCAACTTTAAAAAACATTGGTAGTGTTAAATAAAGAGATAATTGTTGAGAAGAATACTGCTTCTATTGCGTATCGTGCAATAAATAGTCCATACGAAAACAGTCCTGTGCTCAAAAATGTGTAATACTTTCAGTTTCTATCAAATTTATTTAATTTAGATCTTGTAATTGCCAGGAACCATGCGGAATCTTTCTTCAGGAAAGAGGAAGTATGTGAAAATTATGAAACCAACCTGTGTAAACGAACCCCGTTCATACAAAAAGAATATAACAGAATTATATGTATAAAGTAAAGGAAGCACTGTATATGCCTTGCGATTTCCTTGAAATTTTAACATGTAGCGTCAGACATACGGTTGATGCCAACGTCACAAGAGTAGGCAAAATTAATGTGTTAGTAAAAAAGATAATGTGTTCGTATCGATTTATTCAGGGAATATACATAAACACATACAATATTGTCAAATATATCAACATGCATTTATAAAGCAAACACAAATGCAACAAAAATAATTAAAAAATTTATTAGCAAGTTTTATGTAACTCTCGGATTGCCCATTAAGCTAAAAGCTTAATTCCAATGGGCTCTATTATATTGGTAAAATGACTATTTTTGGCGTGGGTCTGTATTAATGCTTTTATGTTTCGCG